ATATCTGAGATATAAACGAGATATATTGAGAACACATGGAACAAATAGAAAAAAGGCAAGATGGTAGATTTTACTAGAATTGTATCAATAATTACATTGAAATGGCCTTAATACTCACTTTAAAAAGCAAAGACTATCCAATTAGACAAACCAAACAGATTAAGTACATAGGATTTACATAAAACTCAAATTAAAGTGTAATTAAAAGAAGAAAGATGCAAAGGTATCAACCACCCAAAGCCAACTCAAGTAAGAAAACAGCTGTTGGGGCTGAGGTACAAATCGGCAGTCGTGTGCGGAAAGACCTGGGCATACGACTGCTTAGTTCCGTAGGTCTGAAACAGCTGTTCAACTCTCAGACAGAGTAGGCTTCAGAAAAAGGACACGACCAGACACAAAGTGGACACTGAGCCATAATAAATGTCTCAGTAATGTACATGGCCCTTGAAATGAAACTTCGAAAATCAACGAAGCAAAATAAATAAATAAACAAACAAACAAACAAATAAATAAATAAATAAAACCCATCAGAGTGAAATGTGAAAGCAGAGCCAGGATGACCCTTTAACTTTTGACCCTTTAACTTTTGACTCTCCTGTCAATAACCAATAGAACACAAGTCAAATTAGTGAAGCCAGCGAAGACTTTAAACACGCATGGCTGGGGCTGGAGAGATGCTCAGAGGCTAAGAGCATGGCCTGCTCTTGCTGAGGACCCAGGCTCAACTTCCAGCGCCCACTTGGTGGCTTTGGGCCACGTGTAACTCCAGTTCCGGGGAATCTGATGCCCTCTTCAGGCCTCCCTCCATCAGCTCCATAGACACATGGTCCACAGGCAAAATAAGTGACCTAACACATAGAATAATATTTATTAACTAAGTAATAAACAGCTCCAGATTGTTGATCTAATTATCACTGACATAACAGGCCATCACCCAACAGAAGGAGGTATAAACATCTTAACAACGCATATAGAAAGTGTAATATAAAGGGTCACATTCTGACATAAACCATCGACTGCAGGTATAGCTCAGTGGCAATGCACTTATCAAGGAAGTGTAAGGGCCTGGGTTCAGTATCGGCACTGAAAGAAAAAGCCTCAGTAAATGGCAGGAATCATCCCCCATCATTACTCATTGAGGCTAGATCTCTCAGTCAAGCCCATAGCTCACCGATACATCCAGTCTTGTTAGCTAACTTGACCTGGGGGAATCCTGGCCTACAGGCTAAGGAGGTTGGGAGTACAGGCAGGCAGCCATTCATAACAGGCGTTTGCGTGGGTTCCAGGGGTCCAAACTCTAGTCATCCAGCTTGCAGGGCAAATGCTTGATCCACTGATCCATCTCCCTAGGCAGGGCAGCACTATTTCTAATAGTGAAAAACTAAATGATGCCTTCCTCTATGGCTGTACTCTACTCAGGGTAGCCAATAGTTCAATAAAGCAATAATGAGTAAGAAACAGGAGGGAAATATAAATACAAACCATACATATTGAGACAAAGAAATAAAACCGCAGGCAGGAAGCGGCAGTGCACACCTTTAATCCCAGCACTTGGGAAGCAGAGGCAGGCAGATCTCTGAGTTTGGTCTACAGAGTTCCCAGATGGCCAGGGCTACACAAAGACACTCTGTCCTGAAAAACGAACAAACGAACGAACGAACGAATGAATGAATGAAGCTATCATTGTTATGACACTGATATCTGCATAGGAAATTCCTATGGATGAAGAATACATATTGGTATTAAATCAATTATAGCTAGCAAGATGAACAACTTTTGAATATTAGAATGCAAACAAAAACAATACTGTTTACCATAGGACTCCCCTCTCCCCATTTCTGAAAACTTAGGCTCTTATACTAGCAAAACTGTGCAGCCCTTGTGTACTGAAAACTACAAAATACTGCAAAGGGAATTAAGTTCTCAATAGTCAGAGAACATTGTGACTTGGAAGCCTAGATATTATTAAGCTGTCAATGCTCTTCAAAATTGTCTATAGAGTCTGTACAAGCCAAATCTAATCCCCTCATGTGATTAGAGTCCAGAATCCGCCCAGATTATTTCTCCATATTAAGGTTAACTTGATCATATGCACAAAGTCCTTTCTGCCTTGTCATTTAATGCAATTCACAGGGAAATGAGCCTTGAACATTTTTGAGGTAATTTTTTTCCCACCAAGGATACTTTGACAGTCTTTAACATTTAAAAAAAATTTTTTTTAACTTTAGTGAATAAATACCTGCTAAAAATGACATGTACAGGCCTAATACTCCTACTTCAAAGAGAAGCAGAATCAGTTTATATTTTAATTAATTTTTAAATATAGGTTTGGTTGGAAAGGATGGGAGGGGGGAAGAGCCTTGCACACTGTTGGTAGGAATGTAAATTAACTCAGCCATTATGGAAAACAGTAGAGATTCCTCAAAGAATTAAAAATAAAACTTCCATATGATCCAGCAATCTCACTAGTGTATACATCCAAGGAAAGAAAATCATCATGTTGGGCCCGGGCAATGGTGGCTCACACCTTTAATTCTGGCGCTCGGGAGGCAGAGGCAAGAGGGTCTCTGGGAGTTCGAGGCCAGCCTGGTCTACACAGTGAGTTCCAGGACAGCCAGGGTCACACACACACACACACACACACACACACACACACACACACACACACACACACACACAAAACCGTTAAAAAAAAATTCAGCATGTTGAAGAGATAGCTGAAACTCTGAAAGTCTCGTGTTCAATCTGGTATTATTCACCATAGCCAATAGCCAAGACAGTGAATCAGATAGTGTCCATCAGGGACTGAGTGAATAAAGTATTGTCTATTTATACAGAGTAATATTATCCAGGCTTGTAAAGGAATATCCTGACAATATGCATGTCTCAGGACAGAATCACATATACCTTAAACATAGAGTATTTATATTAACTCATTTTCAAATTCCAAATACATAATTTTAAGACATCCATTCATTACATATAATACAGTTTTTAATGTCTTGGAATTAACTTGTTAGGCTAGCATTTTTCTGGTCATTCCTGCCATTTTCTTCAGCCCAACTTCTTCATTCAAATGATAGTCAATTGAAATGGTTTTAATAAACCTCTTGAGACAGAATACAAAATGTCATGTATACAGTTAATTTTACAATAGTGAAAAGGTCAGGTCTAGAGCTTGAATTAGTAAAGATAACCAGATACCGCATAATATTCTGGTCACTGACAAAGCTCACAGATAATGGTGGTCCCATAGGTTGTGATTGGATCCCCAAAGTCCTCTTGTAGCCATCCTAAAGTCACAGATGAACATGTTACTCAAGTGTCCTTGACAATGATGATGTATGATACCTATTGCACTGGCAAATGTGTAAAAATATAGCACCAAACCACATATGGTACAGAGTCACAGATGATAAATGTATTGGTCATTTTCTTATTGCCCAGACAGAACACCCAACAAAACAACTTAGGTGATGATGGATTAGCCCAGGCTCATGGTTTGAGGACACATCCGCTGTGGCAGAGAAGGAAGGCTGGCTGGGCTCCCTATGTGGTAGTGGTAGCCTGCTTCACAGCTTGCTACTCACTGCTGAGACTGGTTGGAATGGGCCTAGCCTACAACCCTCAAGCTGTGTCTCTACAGCCCTGCCTCTGCCATGTCCTGAAGGTCCCACAACCTCCCGAAGAGCACCACTGGCGGCGGACCATGCGAGGAAACACGTGCACCTGTGAGGTCATCTCACATTCAAACCATAACAGCTACATGCCTGGTGTAAGAGCTCGGTACACCATTCTCTGTATTTTAGAGGGTTCTCTTCCTAACGGCTCAGTCTACAGTGAAACAGCATGGCGTGGCTGGCTGTGGCACCCTCGAACATCTCTTCACTGCCTGCCTTGCTTGGCCTACACCGCACAGGGCCAGAGTCTGACAGGTTAGGTGGCAGAAGGAAGACACTGGGGCAGACTGACAGGGAGCCACGCACACCTGACGGGACGCGGTTGTGTGCCTGCATAGGAGCAGTTTTGGCAAAGTGAAGGAACTTCACAATCCGCACTCAGAAACCAGGTTTCTTCCTCTGTGGACTGCAGACACTGAAATCAAGGGAAGGCAAGGGCAGCTGGCCTGCTCAGCTACTGTGAGGGTGGTGACCCTGATCTGACTAGCACCCCTTGGATGCCCTGAAGGGCAAGGAAAAAAGACCAGACCTTTCAAAATACAGAATCTGGGCCCAGAAGCACACTATGACTCCATTTACACAAATGTTCAGAATGAAAAGTCATAGCAACACAAAGGTTAGTGTCAGAAAGACCTGTACGGGTTTGGGGTTGAGAAATGGAAACTGCTCCTAGGTGCAGTGCTGATCTGTGTGAAGAGAATGATCTGTGACAACGCACGGTGGTGGCCATGCAATCTGCCACACCCATCAGCAAGGAACTGCACAAAAGGGTTGCAGAACTTATGGCATGAGAATTCTATTTCAACCAAGCTGTGATAGGTTAAAAAAGGGTTAAACCAAACTGTTTATCAGAGTGCCTGGTATAGAGTATTAAGGCACTACACAGCATGTTTCACAGATGCTCCGCTGTACAGGCCACTGAACTGCAAGCCTGATGCACTCGAGGACTTACATGGGTTTGTTCACGACCTACAGCTGTGCCTGTAACCTAAGAGACATTCGGTAGCTGGTGTTGAAGATCTAACTGCTAACTGAAGATCTAAGGACAGCAGGAGAGCCATGAACACACACACACACACACACACACACACACACACACACACACACACACACCACAAACACACACACACCACAAACACACACACACCACAAACACACACACACCACAAACACACAACACACACAGACAATGAAGATGAGGATACACCATACAGTAGGTACTCACAGATACTCACTGACTTCAGAAATGAGTGGGTGGAGATTAAATGATGGTAATGACTCATAAATATGTATCACATCAAAAGGGCAAAGAATTAGGACTACTGTTTATAAATTTTTTATTTAAAAAATAAAATTATAAACAAAATACAGAAAAATATTGACACCTGTGTAACAATAAGATGACTTTTTTCATCTTTAGGATAATTTGTTGTTCTGAGAGAATAAAATCCTAAGTTTAATAAGTAAATTTTCTTGGTCTAAGAAGGAATTTGATATTTTATTAGCAGTGGGTACTTGGCATATGTAAGACTTAATACATACATTCCATACTTTACAGCATATTCAAGTCTCATCTCCAAGTTCTATACCAAACAATGTACCTCACCAACGTCCCTAAGATTAGTAAGAATGCAATATAGTATTATTAGAAAATAATCTCGCTCTTCCTAGGTCACCTGTATTTCCACTACTTGAATACATTTCACAATGGTCTCTCCCCAGTTGAAGCCAAGACTCTTCTAGACTTAAATAGAAAACAGCAGCCAGTCGTGAGGCAACCCTCCTTCCCTGATGTGACAGCCAGCTGTGAGGAGTCTTCTCCCCATTCCTTGATGTGGATCCCTCCCTACAAAGCTCCTCAGAGCAGGTGGTCAACACTGCAGATGTACACCATGGAATCTCCCTTTGAAAAGACGGCTGAAACACATTACCTGTCTGACTAACAAATTCTTCATTTCAAGCAAAAGATATGAGAACCCCACATGACAACTTTCTGAAAATACATAGTAGTTTCCTCCATTTTTCAAATCAATCATAGACTCATTAGCAATCTGGATTCCCTCTTACTTTCTAAGTTATAGAAGCTACTTATCCTAGCTTCTTGATAATCTTCCCATCTCATCTTTAATTATAATTTTATTAAAATCAACATAAATTACAAATAACTTCCATAACTGAAGTTTCTAGATTCCATGGGGCCTGTCTATGTAAACAGGGCAAAATGAAATGTCTACAAAGTCTTAGATCTCAAAGAGGTCCACACAAACCAAACCGACTCATACCCATTGCTCCTACTTATCCCAGGCTGAGGTTTTTGGTTTGTGAAGACGATGAAAAATAATGGAGACAGGTGAATTTCATTCAGTTGAGCTCCTCTGTCTTCAGGTTGTAACTTCTCCAGTACAAGTTGGCTGGCAGTTGACAGCCGGCTGCTGAGTTGACATGACCTCTAAGTCAGATTCGCGAACAAAAACCACCGCATCACCACTGACATTTATGAGACACTGCGCCTGTAAAAACAGCAGACAGATACCCAGGTGTGTGCAGCCACAGTGGTCATATGCCTACTGTGCAAGGGCTCTGGTAGAAAACCAAAGCCAGCACAGGCCAATCAACCACTAGACAAAACAATCCAGCAGAAGATGAAGAAAGAATAAGTTCACAAGAAAAGAAATCCAGAAAGCGTGGGCACGATGGACAAACTATTCAAGCCTGCTATAAATCAGGATTTATAAAATAACAGTAAAGACAATGTCACACATACTGAGGAGATGGTGAAAGCTGGGTTACTAGGTACTAACAAATGCACAGGGCAAACACACACAGGGACTGGACAAGCAACCACTCCGTCAGTCCCTCACAGGGCAGAAAAAGTGTGCACTCTGCAATCACCATTATCACCATTCCAGACTTTTCCTTGTATTTTCCTCTAGAGAAAAATCTTGATGGAACTTTTTACTGTAACATGTTTATAAGAGGAAAGTATTAAAAATAATGTAAATAGTGAAAATACAGACCAGTTATGCCAGACATACCAACATAAGTGAAAATTACATAAAACTTTCAATATAGCTAAGTGTCTAAATATGATAAATTAGTGAAAGTAATTAGAATGTGTGAAATAGTCTCAATGGAGGCAAATTCTGCCACTGTATGAAAACTACAAAAGTGAGGGGCCTTCCCTAGCTCGCTTGCTAGCCCCTTATGTCCAGGTTAGTTCCTACAGCACTGGAAACGTCAGAGACCTAGTCAACAGATACTATTACCTCCTCCCTTCAGCCGGAACAGCTGAGGATTCTGAGTGACCTACACTATGGAGTGTTGAGTGGCTGAAGGCACAATGAACACAATCTTTTGGCCCAGAACTGAGAAAGTCACCAAGAAAAATAAGGCGAAAAAAGCTACAAAACCATGTGCATGGCAGCACTGTCAAAAGTGTGCCGAAACGGAGTGAAATGTGTGCTTGCTGTGTGCAGCTAAGGCTCTCTCTGGGACAGAAGTATCCTCAGGGACAGAAGTGACATTAAAATACAGAAGAAGAGAAAGGCACTAATGACTTTAGCTGTATATAGTAAAGAAACATTGGTTTCAACACAGAACAGGGAGAAACCTTTCTACAAGTTATTTTTAATGTTTTGAAACAGGTTCTCACTACGTAACCCTGGTGTGGTGGTTTGGAAGATAATGGCCCCCCAAAGGGAGGGGCAACATTAGGAGGTGTGACCTTGCTGGATTAAGTGTGGTCTTATTGGAGGCAGGCTTTGAGGTCTCATATATGCTCAAGCCACGTCCTGTGAGTCCAGACCACTTCCTGTTGCCTGTGTCAAGATGTAGGACACTCAGCTACTTCACGGCACCATGTTGCATCATGATGATAATGGACTAAACCTCTGGAAACACAAGTCACCGCAATTAAATGTTCTTTCTTTATAAAATCTGTCATGGTCATAGTGTTTCTTCACAGCAACAGAAACCCTGAGACACCTGGGTAGTTTGGAGCTGTGGGGACCAGGCTGGCCTCAAAGACAGCTCTGCCTGCTTCATCTGCCTCCATTTATTTTTTAATGGAATTTTTGAAGTTTGAATCAGGTACAACTCCTCCAAAACATGTATTAAAAATTCATATTATAAAAAAGACTACATATATGTACATGAAGATATAAAAAGCAACAAGGTGAGGATGGTTCCCTCAGTGGGAAGAACATATAGGCCCACAAAGGCTTCCAGAGTGTGGGGTCGGGGTGGGGCCGCAGGCACTCTAAGCTGCTGCATGTGTAGAGACCAGAGGCCAACGGGGGTGTCTGCCTCAACTGTCCAGCTGACTACCAGGTCCCTTCGGGGTGTGTGACAAGAGTCACACTTCAACCTGCTTCACCAAACATCAGAAAACGGTCTTCTCGTTTCAGAATAAGACTATTCTTTAACTCTATTAATGTAGTAGAACAAACTAGTGAAAATTTTTAGGTTAAGAGAAGAGCAGAAAGGACTGAGAATCAGTAAATCGGGCCTGAAATGGGGCTAACACTGTGCCCAAGCTGACTCTCTTCTCACACTGCTGACACATTTATGTCATGGCAGAGGCTCACTGTGAAGTCCATGCCCACATAGACACACACCTACCCTTCTCACCCCTGCGGAATGTACACCAGGTCTCCTGAACGCAGTATCTGCCTGCATATCTGCCGTGCTCAGGGCACAAGTACGTCTATCCATTTATCATGCATGCCACACAAAAATATGATTTCTGATGTGTGCCAAGTGCAGTAGGATGGAGCATGCTGCCTTTAAGACACTTTGTTTCTTATATAATTATTTAATTTTAGAAGAAACCTTAAAACTTTTGAGCTATTTAGTTAAATTAATAAAAGAATGATATTCTAAGGTTTAGTCTAGTGAGACCTTTTCTTAGTCTATACCCCATTTACAAAGTGACATTTAGAGTCTGTCCCCATTGTATGATCTTCACCATCAAGGCAGGTAAAACTAGATACCCCAGTACACAGGGTGAGGGGGCCTCAGATCTGAGAGGAGGTACAGCCACATCCAAATTCCAAAAGAGCACCGGAACAGAAACTTGGTGCAATTCCTTGGCGGGCAGTAACTTGGTGCAGAAGTTTCAGCAATGATTAATTAAGGGTGACAGCTCGTCATGTGACATGTGGGACAGAGCCTGAGTGATGATGACTTCGTGATCAATAAAGACATTCAAGTACACTTTAAGCATCTAGAATCAAAATTCTAAAGAGCAATTCTTCTAGAAGGAACAGATGTGGACAGGCCAGAGGGGCATTCTCAGATGTCCTGACATCATAGATGTTTAGTCATCTCACCTGGTTCTTACTTGGATTCTCCATGAAGACGCACTGCTTCATAATGTAGGAAACAACAGCATTCCCGCCCAGAGCAGCGACGTGAGCTCTCACCATGGCAAACACTTCAGCAATGAAAGTATGGAGGAAACCGCTGACTCCTCCTTCCTGCAGACAACATATGACACCACGCAACCCATACAGGGTCAGAACACACGTAAGCATCAAAAGCACACAGTACACATTCCAAACTGCCTTAATGTAAATGACAATCATTACATTTTCCTCATCACAAGGGGATTTTTTTTTGTGTGTGTTAATAAACACACTTTTAATAAAGGCACATCTGATTAAAGATTTTAAAGTACTTTCGTTAAAGCTCAGATAAATTGTAATTTGCCCATGACCAGCTATTATTATATACATTGTATGCTTTATGAACATACTTGCTGGGGAACAATCCTAGGCTTTGTGCTGCCTGGCAAGTACTCTGCTCTCCTCATCTAACCCTATTATCAGCACCAGCACCATCACTTTACAGACACTCAGACTCCCAAACTTCTGGCCTCTGCCTGGCTGAGTCTACACCTGTGCACTCCGATGCAGCTCACAGGCAGTTCCTCTACACCTGTTTCCTACATCCTGTGCTAATACACAATGCAGCAGGACAAGAATGGCATTCCACACACATTGCTAGGGAAAGCAAAGAGTAGTATGGTCAACCTTTTCTTTAAAGCCAAACAAAACAGGAATTAAGAGACAGTCAATAGCTTAAACGCCTTTCAACTTATGTTTCCCATCAACTCCACTGGAGAAGAGGTTAAGGACAATCAAGGAAATTTCTGAATTAAACTGGAGTTAAGGAACAGCAGTGTCTACTATTAGGAATTATATTATTTTCTTAAGTTCATCTTTTTTTAAAAAAAAGTTTAGATGTGTAGGCGCTTTACCTGCATGTATGCCTATGAACCAGGAATATGACTGGCATCCAGAGAGGACAGAAAGGGGCACTGGATACCCTGGAACTGGGGTTACAGATGGTAGTGAGCCCCCATATAGGCACTAGAAACTGAACCTGGGTCCTCTAGTAGAACAGCCAGTGTTCTATCCCTGAGCCATCTCTGTAGCCCTGAGCACACCTTTTTAAAAGCTAAGGAGATCACCCAGATTGTAAGCGTGTGAAGAGATCTCCTTTTAAAATTCTGAAATGAAATCAGCTATTTCAGCCTCCACTCAGGTCTTTACCAGTTGCCTCTGCTTGTGAAGTCAGGACATTATGTAGCAGAATATGTGCGTAACTGTAAGGAGGGTCTCACCAGGTACATGAGGGATGCTGTACTCAGGTGAATGGTGCAGGCATGATGCAGGTCTCTACTGCAGTGATGCTGACCAGGTAATGACACTTGAGGGATGCTGTGCTCGGGTTAACGGTGCAGGTCTCCGCTGCAGTGAGACTGACCACGCAGGGATGCTATACTGCAGCGGGGAAAGCTTCCACAACAGCAAAGACTAAGGAAATGAAAACATGTGGACTAGTGTGGCCAGCAGCTTGTGCGAAAGCTGCTATCTAGGAGGCTGAGACAACAGGATCCTGAGTGCCAAGGGTTCAAGACAACCTGGGCAATACAACTTACAGGCTCAAAGCTGTATAACCATATACTACTAGGAGCAACGAGAAAAAAAAAAAAAATTGAAACAAATCTATTTTGTCAAACTTAAGTGGACTTGAATTCTCTATTAAGAGGTTCTGAGACTACACATGGTTTCTTCTCCACATAAACATAATTAGAGTATAATTAGGATAACCTGTCAGACATTATTCATTCACTTGCACAAAGACACACTGTCCTTGCTCTATGCCAGGCAGGCCCCATGCTGGGAGGAGTGTGGCCTATGGCATCCAGACAGCTGTTCCAAGAGCACAGGCACACAGCACTTCCCGCCACACAGGGAAAGCTCAGCTCTTTCCACAGCATAAACTGCCGTGACAGCCACAGATGATGGGGTTTAGCACCTCAATAACTTAAAGGGTTCCTAATTCATAATACTAATTTGTTCAGTAGCCCGGACTCATATATAAGATACAATATAATTTCATTTTCTATTAGGTTAAATTTCTGTGTTACAAATGACACAACAGAGTAACCCTGACTTTGAATTGTGATCATATCACAGAACATTTTATGAGCGCTATATAACAGTTCCCCATGTGTACTGAGAATGGGGAGAAACAGCATTCATATACACTGTCAAGACAGAGAACCGGCAGGCTCTCTCCTTTTCAGAGGGAAGGAAGCATGAAGGTAAAGTAAATTTCCTCTGCAATAAAGTTCCTCTGTACACACGTCTACTACAAGACCCACCATTCCTAAATGTGGCTCCTTAAAAACTGCCACTTAAACATATCTAAGGAAAATACCTATAGAAAACTTAGAATGTCCTGTCAGGGCAGTTTTAAATCTTGAATCAAATATAAGAGGAAGTTATTTACAATAAGGGTCTAGAACTTCTGCAAACAACTGAGCTTCAAGCAGATACAACTCTTATAAAATGGGTTACTGTACGAAATGTAAGTCTTATACAAAAATCCGTCTGGATAGCTGACAAATAAGTAAAATATAAGTGTCTGTGTTATTTAGAAGAAAACATAACATAAAGCTTGGTTTTATTACTTTCAAGAGAAAACAATTGAAAGTTTTGTTACTTTACCTCCCGCAGAGAAGTAGTTTCTCTAATAAAAAACATGTTAATGATGCCGAGATACTTTGTTATCTTTGCTCCAGGGATGAAAGAAAGAGGTGTCATCTTAACAACCCCAACTGTGGAACCTGCACAAGGTGGAGCAGAGCGGTTCCGGAAATTTCCATCACCCATGGGACTTGCTTTCTCAACCGTCACAGCTAAAATTGGAGAAATAATGGAAACATTAAGAACAGAAACTGGAAACTGGATAATCCCCTCAGGTTTCCAAATAAGTGGTGACAACATTCAGCAGTCTGTGAGACTAAGCCATGTCATGAAAGAAAAGAAATTATCATGCACCACATGCAATTTAGAGAGAGAGAGAGAGAGAGAGAGAGAGAGAGAGAGAGAGAGGAAGAAAGTGAGAGAGAGAAGAACATGAGGAGATGCTGGAATGGAATTCTTTGGGAAGGAAAATGGCATTCCTGCAAAGGAAAATGTTGATGCAGTGTAGCTAGACACACAATGATCGTTACACAGTGGAGAAAGGAAAGCGCCAGAGGTAAGGCAGCTGCTGTAGAAACAAAATTATCCAAGGAGAGTGTGAAAGTTGTTACATCCCCAGCGCATTTCCCACCTGTTTCCACTACTCCATCACTGGTGGCTTGTAGGCAGCCTATGTAACACTAGGTGTGATACATTTGTACAATTCTTTCCCAGACTTTTTTGATTAAACAGCCATGTAGCTTTAAGCTTTAACAAGCAATCTTGGCTGTCTAAAAGACTTCTGGGAAATAACAGGTAAAATAGTTACCACCACTTATGCAGTAAGTGCAATTAGCCAGTCCTCTTAGTAGTCACCACTTTCTAAAACTGCAACAAACACACGTCCCTGTGGTTTTCTAACCTCACACAGCCACAGGGTCACCGTCATGCCCGTTTCCACAGGAGGAAACCAAGGTCGCCTAGTTGTTAACTTAGCACCTCTAGGGCTAAAAATATGATTCTCACTGATCTATTTCTTCTATCGTCCTCTTTAAAATGTAGTTCTTTCCCTTTAAATGTAAATTCACTCAAGTACTGTTTTCTCAAAATCTGCTGAAAGCCAGGATGTAAAACTGTCTCTCTCAAGTGTAGCAGTAAGACAAGCTGTCTGCTTTGTGGACACACTTGATCCTTGCAGGGCCTGTCACTCACACAGGGTCGTGGAGGAAAGCTGGCCACACTCTCCCGGACAGCAATGGAATATGCATCCACATACTTGCAGAAAGTTTCACAAATAGTAAAACTTAAAAGACAGTTATACAGCTACAAGTAACCACTGAGAGGCTCCGTAATAACTTCTCACAAATGACCACTCGTCTGCAGCTTTCACACTCAAATACATGACTGATTGGCAATGTTGTTGCTAGGCAGTAAGGTCTAGCCTTCACCACTGGGAAATCAGGGATATGCTTCTCAGGTCATCAGAACGTGGTAGAAACATCCGCCTACTTGTCTTAATTGATCCGCGCCTTATGGTCTGAGCTTTCAGTTTAATGAGCTCTATCCAGCTGCTGCATCTGTCTGCAAAGGAACTGTAATCAACTGACGTTGCTGAAAACACAGACAGAAAACAAAAGAAAACACAAAGAAAAAATATGGATGACGTGTCTTACTCGCCATAATCCTCCTCGATGGTGTAACTTAACTTCGCTGTGGCTTAGGGAAAGAGTGACCCTGTCAGGTCAGACAGCAGAGGGAGCGGAGCTTAGACATCCAAGTGTCCAAACCCAGGGAGGCTGGCGATGGGCTGTGTGCATGACTGTGTGGTCTCAGGGGGACAAGCGCAGTCCACCTGACGCATGAGCAGAGGACAGACTGCTTAGTTGTCCCACTCTCCTCCTTGTAAGAGGTCAGTTGCTTCTATTTGACTTTGATTTATAATCCAATTTATAATCAACCCATTATGGACAATCCCCTTCCCCACTTTAGCAAAATTCAAACCTAAAAAAGAATTGAGTGCTGAAAATACTTTCAGGGGAAAACAAAACAAACAACAACAAAAGCCCGCCACCTCATTAGCTGACCTGCTCCTTACTGAAACATCTTCTTCCCACCATCAGTAGCACAGCTAGGAAACCGGCAAGAAAACCAAAGGGATGTTGCTGCCAATGTTCTATCTCCAGGTCTGATTTCTGGCTGCAGGGCCTCTGGCAGGATTGGGGGTAGGGAACAGCTAGCATCCCTTCTACGAACAGTAACGTTTACACTGCTACCATTTATAAAAGCTTACAGAGCTAAAACTTTAGAAACTAGAAAAACTATTAAAAAACTAAAAAATAATAACGACAAAGTAAATAACCAATGAATTTTTGAAACATTCTAAATCCAATGAAGCTATATCTGGGGTCTGTCCACTGTCCAGCGCACTCCTATGCCTGTGATTTGCGTGGTGGGTGACTGTGCTTAGTTAGGAGAACTCACCTCTCTGTGCAGCTGGTGTACCTGAGTTAGAACTCGCACTCTCCGGGTGTTCTAGTAAGACAATACGAACAGCATTAGCTTGAATGCCAAGCTCAGCCAGCACTCCTTCCCTGCTGATACTCAATGTCTTCTGTGAGCCCAAACAACAGAATAAGTAAATCCTCACGGCTTCATTACAAAGGCAAAAACCAAACACAAGTATTCGGATTTAAAATGCAGTTCCTTTATGTGAGAAGTAGCCCCATTAATAAACACCATGCTAAGACGGTTGCTTGCTGTGACAGAGGGAGTTTCTGGAGAAAATACAAACAGTAGCATGCTAGTAGAATGATGGCACAAGGTAAGAAGATTGGACAGAAGAAAGGGTCAGCATGCTGGGGAGGGCTCAGAAGAGGGAAACTGAAGGCAATGATGCTTTAGGGGAGGGTGAGAGCCAGTACCATGAAAATCCACACACCACGTAACCAACCACTCATGCCCCACACATCAACCCCAGCCATGGCCCTCCTCACCTCCAACCTCCCATCTGACTTTGTCCACAACCCCTCTGGTGCTAGTGAGACTTTGTGGTACTAAAGGGGGACTGACAGACCTCCAGAGATGGCTAGGAATCCCACAATCTCCCAAACAGAATCACACCCTTCCTAGCAGCCTGGGGGTAGCATCCAGACAGGTACTTGTGTACATGTAAGATACTGTGCAAATGTAAAAGGACTATATATAAAATGTATACATATATAAATATATTTAAAGTCAATATATTTTTGCTATTCATGCTATCTCTGTACTAGAATATTTACATTTTTGTTTCAAGGAATTATAAAGCTGAAAAAATAGCTCATTAAGAATTATTTGGGACATCAATTTTTTTGACGTTATCAACTAAGTAAATACATTTTCTATCTCTAATGTATTGATCTTTTGGTAATATTTCAAATTAGCAAAATTTAACTACTCAAAATATGATTTGTACAGAATGTTCTCCTAAATGGAGTAGCCCTCTCATCTGGTAAATACTGAAGAGCATGTAGAAGCTGGCAGTCCTTTGAATGTGGAGTTGATTGACAAATGGGACCGCTGGTGCAGGCCACAGATGACTGAGAAGGTACCATGCTGCAGACATGTCTGAACATCAACCATCACGTCCACAGGCTGCACACCTAACTGGTACAGTCCTCCTGATTCAGGACACTGAGGAACTCAGCAAGTCCAGAAGGATGGGGTTACAGATAGAGGCAGGAAGGCCCCAACATGTACCCAGAGGCTTAACGGTCTCTGGAGACCACAGAACGGGAAGGGCTCCCGGTGTATATGGAGAACAACCAGGCTGCCCCAGGCTTAGAGGCTTCCAGGGTTCTCTGAGGGTCACAACTGGGCAGGATAGACTCCGTGAGTATACTTTACAGAAAGCACAGTTGAGCTGGGTGTGGTGACAAACACCTTCCTACCAACTTGAGGGGTAGAGGGAGGAGTTCAAGGCTGCCTAAAAAACCAAAAGTTAGAGTACTATAGCTTCATGGCAGACTGCCTGCCTAGCATGTGCAGGCTCTGGAACTTGATCTCTACCAACTGACAAAAGAAAGAGAGAGAGAGAGAGAGAGAGAGAGAGAGAGAGAGAGAGAGAGAGAGAGAGAGAGAATGTAGTTCAGGTTAGGCATTCTATGAATTTTTTTTCCAGGAGCAAGAAGGAATAACTAAAATCATTTCAGAACCTATTAAAATGAATAAATTCTCTTCTGTAATTCAGTATTGCTATATATGATCTAATGGCAACACTGAACTGTGCCAAGTGGAGAGGACATGGTATAAAGCAATATGAAAATGGTTCTTGTATAAAATGCAATACTGAGCCAAGCATTTGGGTGCAACTTGTAAACCAGGATTTTTGGAAGAGGGGTGAGCAGATCAGTTTGAAGTCATCCTCAGCTATGCAGTGAGTACAATCAGTCTGGGCTACATGAAATCCTATCTCAAAAAAATATAAATAAAAATTATATGTTTTCTACAGAGAATAAGCTAATAAGAAGAGTACAAGCTTTTGGGAAGGGAAATAAAAGAAATCTTTATTTTAGACTACATGGTTTTATAGTGTATACATTTCTCTCTGAAATTAATAGTCTTCCCCTAAACACTTACAACGGGGGTCTTTATTCCTTAACTTCAATAGTTTTGAATCACAGACATTTTTCAATGTTCATGGAGCTTTTTTAGCACACTTGGAAGAAAACAGTAATCACTAACATACTTGCTGTGATCTTAACTCTTCTGTTGCACAAATGCTCAAGGCCAGCGGGTTTGGGGACAAATGCACTTGGGCACCTCAGTCCAATTTGCACATCTTAGACACTTGGCCCCTTCTAAATACAGTCTGGCTTCCCAGGTAACAGATTCCCAAACAAGAAGGCACTACAACTGTGTGTAGTCCGGCTCAGCGACACACTAGTACTCTAGTTAACAATCAGCACGCAATCTCCAGGCCATTTCTAGATGAAGGACAGCAGACTCTATTCCTTCTCGTTGAGCATCATTCAGATGAGCTGGGGAGCTAGCACTAAATTCTACACGGAGGAGTGAGAGAAGCAGTTCTCATGTGACAGCCCAAGTCCATCTGCAAAGAGCTGCTATCCAACACACGGCGGCACTCCATGCTTTCACACTTTCTCCCCACCTCACCCCCCCCGTGTGTGTGTGTGTGTGTGTGTGTGTGTGTGTGTGTGTGTGTGTGTGTGTGCATCGTGCACATGCCCATGTGAACAGTTAAGGGACAGCCTGCAGAGGGCATGCTTCCTCCTTCAATCATGAGAACTGGGGGGTGGTAAGCACCCTGCTTCCGATTCTTTAAAAGAGTCATCAACACTGGGCATGGTGCTGCATGCCTATTATCCCAGGAGTCTGGGTCAGGACTACTGGGGATTTACAGCCTGTCTGAGCCATATAAAAAGTACCAGATCAGCCAGGCCTACACAGCACAGCGAGATCGTGTTAGCAAATAAATCTAACCAGGCAAAGCAAACAAGGTTACAGATTATTACTCTTAGCTTATTCTAACAGCATTTAGCAAGCCCTATGTCCACAAATTTGGAGACTAAAACAAACACAGGGTAAAGAATGGGCTAGCTAGCAGAAATAAATATATTAATGACCAAACTAACAGCAGAAATGGCAAAGATTCTTCTGTCCTTTCCTATGCTTCTAAAGTTCTTCTCAGCAGTCTGTCATAGCCAGTGACAAAAGCTTCTGTCAACTGTGTTCCTCCGAAGTGCATGCTGACATTCTTGTTACCATGAGAACAGCGTCACAGCTGGCTATGCCAGACGGCTCCATCCTCCAGTGAAATTGGTACCACTGAAAAGGGTCAGTTTTGTCTTTCCTCCATACTCCAATGCAGCGAGAAAATCCTTCTAAGTTGCCAGAACCCGATGTAGGCCTTCTCAGCCTCCAGAGCCCACAGTCAGTAAGTGTCTAGTCTTTCTAAATCACCTTGTGTTCCGGGAGCAACACACACTGGACTGATGTGGGATAATAGACTGTACACTGTAAAGATTTGTCACTCATTAGTTTAATAAAATGCTGATTGTCCAGTAGCCAGGCAGGAAATACAGGCGGGGCTACAGACCAGGAGAATCCTGGGAAGGGGAGAGGAGAGACAGCCACCAGCCAGATGCACAGGAAGCGAGATGAGAACGCCTCACTGAGAAAAGGGACCAAGCCATGTAGCTACACATAGAGAACTATGGGTTAATTTAAGTTGTAAGAGTTTGCTAGTAATAAGCCTGAGCAACAGGCCAAATAGCTTACAATTACTATAAGTCCCTATTGTGTTTATTCAGGACTGAACGGCTCTAGGACCAGGCAGGACAGAAACTTCTGTCAATATGTGGCACCCAAACATTTGTCAAGGATTTTTCATGTAAAACCTGGCAAAAGCTTAAAAGAGATTCTAAACACAAAGGAACAGAATCAAGCACAGCTTCTTGGCAGCAGCATTTATTCAGGTGGACTCTGTTTGCTAGAGGCAAGCAGAGGCTTGGCTCCTTTAAGAGAGGCTTCCTGATAGTGTTAGCGGCAAAAACTGCAAGGCTCTTTTAAGAGGCCCTGCTACCAAACAATTAAATGGTGTTTATGAGCAGCCAGTGGCATGCTTCTTGGTGGTGGTATGGACCTAGAAACTCTGCAGAGTTAGCAATAAACATATCTCCCACCAGTATCTCTGCCACAAAGCTAGACTCTTAGGAAGCCAAGGAATGGAGCAGGGCCAGCAGCTACTTTAATCTTATAGATGCAATTTAGCAGATTAAAGACTCACGTGGTCAGAAAAAGATATATACAGTAAAGACTGATTCAGAGGAAAACAACCCCTAAATGGTATACAGTGTGCTTACAAATATACATAGGCTTGGAAGAGAAAAGAAAAGGGGTAGAGAAAGTCCTTAAAGAAGAAACAGAGTAGCTGGGTGTGGTGGCACAAGCCTTTAATCCCAGCACTCCAGAAGCACTCCCACCATCCCACCATTTCAAGGCCAGCCTGCTCTACAGACTGACTTTCAGGATAGCCAAAGACACACAGAGAAAGCCTGTCTCAAGAAACGAAGGGGAGGGAAAGGAAGGAGAGAGGGAGGGGAGGTGGGAGGGAGGGAGGAATAGAGTAATAAAAGCCACATAAAGATAAAAATACAGAATCTGTTATTATGTTGTCCTTACATTGTCTGACTGCTGAGGAAGGAGCAAGAGCTGCCAACAGATGTTTGATTATAAATGCTGCTGGATTCATTCAACATACATACTTTCAAAATGTCTTTACTGCAAAATCTAAGTCAAAAGGTATGTTACTTTGGAGAAGAAGAGGGTTTGCTTTTGTTTCCACAGGAAATGAGAGGCTGTGGATTCATTCTGCATTAAGAAAAATAAGGTTTTATTGACGAAGACCGCTGAAAAATCTCCAATGGGAACAGATGGCCCAGATGATCCAACATTTGTCACTCATATTGGTTTATTAAAACACTGATTGTCCAGTAGCCAGGCAGGAAGAATAGGCTGGGCTACTAGACTAGGAGAATTCTGGGAAGAGGAGAGGAGAGACACAGCCAACAGAGGAAGCAGGATGAGCCCGCCTCACTGAGAAAAGGGACCAAGCCACGTGGCTAAACACAGATATGAATCATGGGCTAATTTAAGTTGTAAGAGTTTGCTAGTAATAAGCCTGAGCAATAGGCCAAATACTTTATAATTAATATTAAGCCTTAGAGTGGTTATTTGGGAACTGGTAGGTGGGATGCAAAACTTCCATCTACAGTGGACAAAGTCCACTATAACACAAATCACTAACTCTAGTGACTGTTTACTTCTCATCATTACAATTCATCAATCATCCTTGCTATAAATATTTTCAGAGTGAACACTTTAAAAATTATTGTCTTAAAATTTCCCACAAATAATATTCTCTTGTAGAGTAAAAGGTATGCAGCCTAAAGTCTTTAATTTTTCCTATTTTCCCATTTAAACATTCAAAGTTTTAAGTTACTATGATCACAACTGAGATTTTAGTCTTTCAGGCATTTTTAATCAATATAATAAATGACTGATTATAGTTTATACATTAAAAAGTTGGCTTGATGACTACGTTAACGATGAATATAAAGGTAGATAGAAACTTAATCCATAATGCTACTTAGATCTGATAAACTGCCATGTAACAGTTGTAAATTATTAAAGCATAAAGATAGAAATAACAGCTTCAATTTGAATAGTTTACAATGGGAAACCAAAAGTATTACTATACACAAATTCGATATCATCAATGAACTGCCATGCGGGCCACACACCGCAACTAAAGACAAACACCCTACCCTAGTTTCTTCCTTCTGGATTCCCTGTCACAGTCCTGCACCCACTTGTGGGTGTCCATTCCTCTTAGGACTATGCGTTACGGCTTCCTTCTCTCCTTAGCTTAAGTCGAGGTCTTTGTCTTGCTCTGCACCCCCTGCCTCTTCTGCATCCCTCTGACCCCACCCTGCCTGAAGACAGCTAGAGGGAGGGAAAGCTACCCCATCCCCACTCTCACTGGTTAACCTACACACTTGGACCTACCTTTAGACTGTGTTCCATCCACTTACTCGTCTGTTTTTGAGAAAGGGTCTCACACTCTAACATCCCAGGCGGGCCTGCCTCAGCCCCAAGCGCTGGGGTTCCTCCTGGTTTTCCTATTCCTCGTTCTCTGCCCCAATAGCATCACTCTCCTGCCCCTGCTTTGGCCATTCAACTATATGAAGATTATTTATAGATTCTTTTTTATTGTGATCTCCATTTTGATCATAATGTCAAATATACAGTTTTTTAAAGCAGGCACAGCAGATATGCAAAAGACTATCTATATAAAGGTATTTGTAGTAGTATAAAGACCTCACTGCACAGCCTCTTGTCAGCACCCCATCCCAAGGCTGCTCTGGAAGACCAGAGAACTTGCTGGCTGCAGTTTCTTGGAAACACTGATAATTATGGGAGCTCTCTGGCCTTGGGCATGAATTCAGCATTTGATTTACTCCCCCTGCCCCCACTGGGCAGGGTTTCTCTGTGTAGCCCTGGTTGTCCTGTAGACCAGGCTTGACTCAGACTCAAGAGATTAAAGACGTGTGCCACTCCAATACAAACATGGTAACAATTATAGAACCACAAAATACTGAATCTAAAGGAATTTTAAAAACTTAATTTCAAGGCTAAAAGGAAGTAGAAAACTTTTCAGATTTCCAACACGAGAAGCCAAGGCTGACGGAAGCCTGTAGTCAGTTGACTTGCACACCTGCTCGGTGGCAGCACTGAGCACAGGCATCCCTGCCTCTTTCCTTCACCTCAGGCCCTCATGCAGCCTTTCCAAAGGAGCTGTAAAGACTTGGGGCAGTTCACAAAAGAGACATTCTATTCAAACGTTTCTTCCTTTTTTCTTTAGTTCAGAAAATATCATTTCATAATACCAACCACATAAGCAGTAATTGTAACTGACCCTACAACACTCTGGAAGACATCAGTATGGATAAGGCAAACTTACAGACTCACCCTAATCTTCTGCAGCATCCAGTCAGCAATGACAACATGCTAGATTAGCAACAGAGTAAGTAAGCCTTTACTAAGTAGGTTTTAGGGGTGGTTCCTCATTGCAGAAGTTTCTCTTTCCATCCCCGAAAAGAGTGCCACCTAAGGAGCTCACCATTTTTTTTTAAGACTCTTAACCTCTGAGCCATTTCATCCCGTCCCTCAAAAAGATTGTTAACAATATTCTTCTCCAGAAACCATGTTTACTCAGAAATCTGAACTCAGACACCACTGAACTGGTTCTTTATTCTCCTAAGGAAATTAAGGGAAATGCGAAGACTTTCTGTACAAGTCCTAAATTAAATTGGAATTTAGCTAGTGATACAAGAAAGGTAACCAAAGTTACCAGGTGAGGGAGTTTGGAATCTGAACATAGCTTATCTCTTCAAGTCTATGGACAATGAGGTAAACATATATTCCTACATAGAGAGACAGTCCTTGCACTGACTGATTTAGTGAACACACACACACACACACAGAGAGAGTTTTATACGCTTTGTTACTGAATAAAAGTATTCATAGATGGAAACAATTTCAAATATTGTGATTACAGTAACTAAATCAATCATTTCTCAATTAAAAACTGTAAGAAAAAAATATAACCTATGTTTACTGAATATGTGCTATAAGATTAGATACAACTGTTTTGAGAAGTTAAAATAAAAAGTATACTAAAGCCAAAAGAGAAACAAAGGAAGAAGCAATGCTCCCATTATTTTTCTACAGATTGTAGAAATCAAAAGAGTTTTCCCTCTACAGGGAATTATTTTGTATTTGAAAAACTGTCAGTTCCTTATAACAACAATGTTATTCATTACATTGTTCAATTACAGACATTGTGTAAAAGATGGAAACATTCATGATTAATCAAGAGTATCCCCTGGAGAGTACAGGAAAATCCAGAAATGTTTAAAAATTTGATTAGAAGAAAACTTACCAGATAAAATACCAAATACACTATATGTAAATATTTACACTGGGAAATTCAAATCTTCACAAATAAAACTTTAGGAGAACTGAGGTAGAAGATTGGAGCAGAACATAAATGACCTTCCCAGTTTACGATCTCTCCACAAAGTAAAGAAAGAGCACTATTTCCCCCAAGTATGCGTATGGAAAACACACAGAGATAGACGCGGGCCAGACTCCTCGGCTGACTACAGCGTCTGCTATGTGACCAACCTTTAGCTGCTGGGAAGGCGTGAGAAGGCACGGAGTCTGAGCAGAGCTCCAGCGGAAACTGCAGCAGCTCTTCGTTATCCGTGGATGCTTGAGAGGCAAGCACACACCAGTTACTTCGAAGCCATCCTCCGTTCCCGTTTTAACCCCAAGGACCAACCACAGAGCTCTAACACACACACTTCACCTCCTAGACAGGAAAACTTACCTCTCTGGAGTGACTTTTCAGCATGGGCTTTTGTGGTCTGTAAGGCCTGGTTTTTATCAAAAGTTATTGCAACTGCTGTGACTGTAACCTAGAATTATAGCGACAATCCTGATTAGTGACACAATCACTAATGGAGTTACTTACGCTTTGTTAGAGTACCATGGACAACCTGTACCAACTGACTAGTGAGCCCTTCCTGATGAAGACTCTCAACCAGAGTTCTATGTAAACTCGGATGAGCAACGTGTAGAGCTAAACCTAGACATTTCCCACCTAGCCGCCTCTGAAAGACAGGGACTGCTAAAGTCATGGACAATGAGCCCCGTTGTCTGCTGCATCCTCAGAGGGAGGACATATGTGAATCCCCTGCAGATAACCAGCGGTAAGAAAACTTGAATACACAGCCTGATGCAGCTAACACACAACCTCCGATAGCCTGAGTTACAACACTGTGCGAAGTTACTTAATTAGGGTCCATTAAACTCAAACAGATCGCAAAGGGCTGGAAGACTCTTGCACAATCAAAGGCCGCTTCCCCCCTTCCGTGTTACCTGGATTAACTCGTCTTCCGGCAGAGACACCGTAAAGTTCACGTGGCAGAGGCAGCAGGGGGTCATGGAGCGGAGTTTGAAGTATAAGCTCTGCAGGAGACAGGACGGGTGTGAGCGCTGTACTTCACGCTATGACCTCGTGGGGTTAGTTCTGTCCAGGGGCATTACAGCCCAAGGGATGAACCATGGAAGGGACGCGACAGTGGCCCTGCTCTTTGAGAGCAGTGTCAGCCAGTAAGGCTTACGTCTTACGGTCTATGGGCATGTCAACACAGAGGACATGAAGTGACAGGCAGGGTACCTTGGAAGGAAGGGGACTGAGGGAGCCCAGTCACAGCATTCACTGCAATGAGTAACACAGCTTTATGAGAGCCACCACTCTGCAGGGAACATGCACCAATAAAGTTTTAATGTTTGACAACAACTCGGGCTCTTACAACCATCTACGGATGTATAGACTGTTATGACAGTGAAGCTACTGAACTGAATACTGTCTCTTAGGACAGCGAGGACAAGCCAGTGCCTCGCGGTGGCGGTGGCGCAGGTGAGACTGATAGGTCCCAGAAACAGCACATCCCTGGTATGTGAGGCACTACGGACAAAGGACCCTGGTCCAGTCAGCCTGGGCCCTGAGTGCAGGCTCCTACCTTGAGCAAGTTCTCACACAGGCCATTGAAGTTCTTATTGAGAGCTTGGTTAGTCAGGTTGAGGCTGCTCAGTCTGACCACTCTTACCGACGTGAACATCTAGGGGCAGGGGAGAGAACAGCATAACATCCAGCTATTTTTTTCCTAAGAAACTAGTAATTGGTAAAAGTGGCAAATAATGAATAAGTCATGAAATTAAAAAGGATAGTGTTTGTAACTGCTACTAAGGGTCAAAAAGTAGGCGATATTAAAATAGAACTTCTTTATAATATATATGGCATTTGTTTCAAATTAATAAGAAATTTACCTGTATTTCTGATGTCCAATTATTTATGCCAGGCATAATTTCAGTATTACAACTATAAAAACCTGCCAAAATATTAAAATTAAATTGTGATATTTTACTGATTATGGTTTTAGAAATGACAGTTCTCAGAAAAAAAAAAAAACCTAAATATAAAACTTTCATTGCTTTTGACTACCTACTGACTGAGTCCAATGCCAGCCTGAAATGTTAGGAGTCAGAGCCCTGAGGCACACAGGCTCTAAGTCAGTGCTAGCTTGCTGCGTACCTGAGGGCGGGGGGACGTCAGTGAGGAGGGAGTGCACATCTTCCATGGCGTCAGTGTCATCGATCTGGAAACACAAAGATAAGACTACCTTATAGCCCTGAGCACGGAAGCTGTCCTGATTGTTTAACGTTACCTTCATTGTCTGAAAAGCAGAAGATGTAAGAACTAAGAAAATAAAATGCACAGCCATCGCCCCTGCCGATGCATTAAACATGGGGGCTCGAGATATGGCTCAGAGTCAAGAGCGCTTGTTGCTCTTCCCAGGACCAAACTGAGACTCACAGCAGCAGCCTGACATGGCGGCCTCAGCAGACCCGAGGCCCCTGCAGTAGTTTGAATGAAGACAGCCCTCACAGGCTCAGCTTTCCGAATACTTGCTTCCAAACGGTGGAACTGCTTGGGCAGGGTTATCAGGTGTGGCCTTGTTGGAGGAGGTGTGCCATGTGGGGTAGGCTTTGAGGTTTCCAAAGCCCATGGCATTCCTAGTCAGCTCTCTTTGCCTCCTACTCAGAGATAATGGTGAAAACTCCCAGCTACTGCTCCACCACCACACCAAGCTGCCTTCTGCCGCGCTCCCTGTCCTATGGCCATGGCTCTTAACCTCTCAACTACAGCCTCAATAAACTCTTTTCTTCTAGAAGTTGCCTTGGCCATGGTGTCTCTTCACAGTAATAGAAAAGTAACTAAGACAATAAATAAAAATGTAACATAAAACAAAAATTCCAGCATCAGCAAATTTCCCCACAGCAACAACTTCAAATACTTCTAAGTGAAACCTTTCACATATTTAAATACTGAAGTTTTGTTTAAGTACTTTTCAAGTGCTTATTTAAAAACACACCATATGTAATATAGACAAGCCTAAATAAAACACAATGCCCGTACATCACTACATCGCACAGCCATGCTCAGCTCCACTTCAGCTCAGCTGCCCAGTCGGGGCCACACCGCAAGTGACGATTCCCCAGACACTGCACAGGCAGGACCACAGGCATTCCCCACCTCTCCCTTCTCTCCCTGAACCTGTACCTCAGCCTCGTCTGCCCACCTTGGAAGCACTGTTTCTTATGTCTCTGCCCAGTCAGGGTCCCAGCACCTGAAATATCAGTTGTACTCTGGTACAGGTTGTCACATCAGTTTAGAATTCAGTTATAAAGTATTTATCCTCTCAGACTTTTGGAACATTATTCCAACAAAGCATTACCTCTAAAACAAACGCGTCTTTTTTCCCATGTGAAAGGTCTAATTCTGTAACTTCATCAGAACTTTCTGATTGCGATCTTAAAAGTCTTGAGCGCTGTCTAGGTTCTGGGATGGGTGATCCTATAATCTCTTCAGATACCTCCTGAAAAACATGCAATTATGGAGGCTGAGACTTTCTGCTTGGTTTTAAAATTTTATATTAATAGGTCGCTTCCCAAGGAGAAAAAAAAAAATCCACATGATACATTCAGTGCACTCTGTCTTTAAGTTTAACCTTCCAGATTATAGAAGACACAGATATTTCCTTTCACCTACGAAAGCAGGTTAACTCTCAAGGGCATGACAAGGTCAAGCTGACATCTAGTGTGCAGTTAGGGAACTACAGTGAGTGCGGAACTTTCCCACTCCAGGCTGAAGGTGTTTTCATATACTCTACATTTTCTAGGAAGAGTTTTAAAGTATAATGACTATATAAAGACTTAACACTTGCCAGGAAAGGGCCTCCTTAACCAGCAGCAATCTTTTGAAGCTCTCCCACAGTTAAATGTGAAGAATAAGAAATGCATGTGTAGATGACAAGATAATACATACATATACAAATGCACATACAAGCTATACAATTTATCATGCTAAATAATCTTCAACAGCAACAAAACTGATTTTCTACAATCAGTGCATGATGTCATCCTGCAGAGATGTGTGCTGTAAACAGCCAATAACCTGGGCCGCATCGTGTGAGCACAAAAGGCAAAGCCTGATAGTGATATAACAGAATCCTCCTTATCAAAACAGAGGGTTAAAATAGAGGTTTTTCCAAAATATGGTGTTAAATGTTCACTGCTGGTGTGTGTCTAAGAAAAAGGACAATGTGTCGTTGGAAGCCACTTGTGGAGTACTGTTGCACACGTTCATATTATATATAAAACCTACCTGGTGCACATCTGAAAGGGTGGGCACTATAATGAACAAACAATGAGAAAGAATGCAATTCTAAGCTAGAACCCATGTAAGGCAGCGGCTCTGGTGGTGGTTTGGTTTGGTTTTGGATTTTTTTGTTTGTTTGTTTGCCTCTCATTAAATACAATACTTCCTTTTGTGATTTTGTTTTGAATTCTGTGACTGCCTCTGTTTCTACTAAATGGTTAACACTTTGGTATTTGAGATATTCAAGTCTCGTAAGTTAGGTTTACCACTAGTAGTATTATTTTTAAAGTTTCTCTTATTTGATACCATGTATTAATTATCTTAATAAAAAATGAACATCAAAATATTTTCAATTTATTGTGGAAAATTATCCGGTAAGAAGAGTGAGCTGGGGCTATCTTCCTGAGAAGGACACTGACCCACATTTCTAGTTTAATAATTGTATTATTAAGTGGCTGGATATTGCTCTGGCGGTCACGGGCACACACTTCTCTTGTAAAGGGGCTCTCACCTCTGTCAGGTAGCTTATAGCCACCTGTAACTGCAGCTCCCGGGAATCTGGGAATCCAACACCCTCCCTGGCCTCTGCAAGCTCTACTGCCCCCCATATACACATAATTAAAACAAAATCTATAGTTTAATATTAATATAGTGAAAGGTGGCTACAGACAGACTGCTATACAAAATTTAAAACAGAAAAGTGTAATGTTAACAGTGTCCTGGTAATCATCCCTGGGTACCGACTTTGTCAAGCATTTCTAAAAATAAAGACAATTAATATATTTAGTGTTTGAAGTCAGGAAAGACATACTGGAATAAAACCCATTCCTGTTGAAATTTTTAAACAACAGATTTTCTTCTTCCTCAAAAACCTAAGTTGTGTGAAAGGAAAGGCAACTCAGTTTGTATTCTTTGTAAGTATCTGTGTTCTAGGTGCTCTTACAGCCAACCCTCAGTATTCATAAGGTACTGGTTCTAGGACCCCATGGATATTAAAATATGTGGGTGATCACTCAGGCTTCACAAAATGACACAGAATCTGTACATAACTTACATGCAATTCGCTGTGTGTTCTACACTGAACTACCTGGCCAGGCTAGACTACATGAGTTGAAGCTGTCCAGACAATTGCTACACTGTTGTTTAAGGATTAATGGCAAGACACATAGCATGAACCTGCTCAGTAATTTTAAGTATTTTCTGTCTGACTGACTGAATGTAGATGGCAGTGGCAGTGTACAAGTCTGACTACATAATAATAGTGGAAGACAAACGTGTGAATGAATTTCAGCAGCTCTTGGCAAGCAGGCCGGCTGCAGCACACGAGGGGAGGCCTCCCTAGGGGCGATCAGGGCGGAGTCACACAGGCCGCAGACATGTAGCGAAAGCAGCTGACAGCCCCACAGGCAGCAGAGCTCAGTGCAGCCTCCTTGAGCCCAAAAGGCTCAGACACTGTCAGCGCACTGTACAGTCATGGAGGGAAAGCAATCCATGCAAACATTTATTTAGCAAGGGCTACGAGAGCTTTTTAAAAGACTATTTTTCAGATATTAATATAGTAACACAGCAGCATTTCATTGTTTTTAAGTTTCAAATCACTGTCCAACAGTGACACAAGGCAAGCGACACTAGGTAATAAAGAAAATACAGAACTAATTTTAATGACAATTTTGCTCATTTCATTACATGTAATTAAAATAAAAATACTGATGAGACATTTTACACTATTTGCACTATTTTTATACTGTTTTACAAATGTATTTTACAATTAAAGCAAATCCCAATTCAAGCTAGTGGGTACCAAGGGCTGAGCTTCCCAGTCCCCATCAAATCCGTGAGCCCTCGGTCAGCTTCACCACTTTGCTCCAAGAACAGGACAAAAGCTAAGGTGAAGTGAGTTCTGAGGCAGTATTTATTTTAAAGGAGCAGCCCAAACTACAACTGCATGTAAAATTATTAAAACATTACTCGACAGCACCCCTGTGGAAGCAGTACCATCTGAGACTCATAAAAAGCTATTTAATTGCAACTGCAGCATGTCTCCTTTAATTCAGGCTGTGGTAGAGGCACCTGTCGTGTGCAAATTCTGTGTTGGAGCTGCAGGCTCGCTGAGCTTGACTACTGCAAGGATGGCGAGCAACCTGGAAGAGGGAGCAGTCACGACACACCCCTGCCTTGTACTGGCACCATTAAGCAGTCTGTTTTTACTAAAAAGGATCTTTCCTTTCCCTTTCAAAAAAGGGTCTCACTCTGCAGCCCAGGCTGGTCTCGAACACAGCAATTGCTCTGCCTCAGTTTCCCAAGTGCTGGGATTACAGATGTAACTCAATATGCCAGCCAAAAAAAGAACATTTTAAACCACTTACATAACAACCACTGAACAAATATTTATGAAGAGGCTAGTCATTGTAAGAAGGCATTCCTAAGTCAGCTGTAATGGAATTTTATTCTACAGGTCACAGAGGCAAGAGAAAAAAGGTTTAAAACATGTGGGTGTGTATAAGAGCCAGGTGTGTGAACATGTGCACGCACACACACACACACACACACACACACACACACACACACACACACAGGGGTATCACAGGAAACAGAGGAAGTGACGAGAGGAAAAACCTGGAAGGCAGCTGCACTTTATATACCTGACATCAGCGCCATCACATTCAAATGGAGATGTTTCAGACAGACAGCAGGGGAGGTGGAGAATTTTGTGTCCAATATAAGACACCTCCCTCCCACACCCTGCCTCAGACCGGGAACTGGAACATTCGCTTACCGGAGGGTTGATCTCGTACAGCTCCTTGTTTTTGGCAATCGTGTCATTTATCTTCTTCTGCATGTGGGAGATGTGCTGCTCATAGGAGCCGTCACTAGGGGTCTTCCCAGCAATCTGGATGCCTCCAGGCATCGGTAACGCTGCTAAGTAGACCCCTGTGGCAGACTTGTGAAAGTAACAGGGGATAATCAGACCGACCATCAAATGACAGTGGCGTAAGCTTCCTATCTAGGAAGGACACTTCACTCCGCACAAAAAGACATACGGGCAGGCCACGTCTATAAGAGCATACAAAAACCTGGGAAGCAGCTGTGAAAGGAGCTCCTTCAGTAACCAACTATACCTTTTTAAAAACTTTTACCCCGTTACATTTTTTTTTTTTTAAGTTGAAATCTGAGCAGTTTGAACAAGAGCATATGATGTTCTAGGTAAGCCTGAGCATCATCATGAATTGCAGGCAGTCTGGGCTAATAGTGTGAGATCACATCTCAAAATATCTGAAATACATACATAAAAATAACTTGAAATCAACTATACCTTAGCAAAAGCAAAAGTTACAGCACAGCTTTACCAGCACTGAGTAGACAGTCTGCCCTTAGAAGGGCAGCAGTAGAGAACAATGGCAATCACACAGAGAAGGGATGAGGTAAGAAAATGGCAGCAGCCTCATCCCTGAATCCATTCTCCCGCCTTACTCCACAGCCACCAACAGAGACAATTTATTTTACTATTTAACACATTCACCCATTCTACAGCAGTCACTGTATATTATCAGTATTGGAAAACTATGAGAACTATAAAGCAAGCTAAAATCTACATGTGTTTAAGCTACCACAAGCACAGCAACATGTAAAGAAATCTAAACACTAATGTGGGTAGAGAGGCACATGCCTGAAATCCCAGCTCTCGAAGGTAGGGCCAAGAGGATCAGGAACTCAAGACCAGCCTGGCATGAAACCCTATCCCCAAAAGAGCAAAAACAGGGCTGGAAAGACATGGAGAAAGGCACCCACGGAACCCACAAGGTGGCAGGGAGAAGTGACTTGCACAGGTTATCCGTTGGTCCCAGCATGCACACCATGGTGTGCAGAAACACACAAATCAATGCGAAACAACAACCAAGAGAAGCATTAAAGTGGAGGCATGGAAATAGTGGAGGCAGCCCTCTCAGCTCTGGCTATTTGTGTATTTAATATGAAGTCCATCACGTGTCATCTTTTTGACGTTCTATGGCATCTACACATCATCTGACACTGGCCCTACACAGTACTCTTCCAGAACTTAGCATAGCCATAACTCAGCTCCTCATGGCCAGCACAAAGGAGCCCTGCCAAGCCTTAACACCTACATACTTCTGCCCCACTCACTGACAGACGCAGTGACAGCACACATGGCCCCGTCACTCTGGAGTGCCAACCTGTGGCGTCACTGTCTTTGGTACACGGAGTGTAGCAGCAGCACAGAGAATGCAGACGGCTGTAAACAGCAGAGACACAAAAGCTTTACCTGGAGCAGGCCTTAGGTCACATCAGTGCCAAAAACTAATCAACTCGCCACAACCATAACCACTTCCTACATACAAGCGCAGCTGAGGACGGCGGTGTAACCCTGCAAATCCAGCTCTCAGAGGCTGAAGCACACGGATCATGATTTTGAGGCCAGCGTGTGTTTACTAGCAGTAACCCTCTCTCAAACTTTAAATAATTAAATAACACTTTCATACTTGCTCCACTAAAAATAGGAAGTGAAACAGGAAATAATTTTACATTTTAACTACAAATTTACATAGAGAAAAGGACTAGAACTGTCCATAGATTTTATAAGTTAAATACTTCTTCATGGCTTGAAAAGATGGCATTAAGAATTAAAATTTCCAAAATCCCAGCAAAATTTTTCACTGACCTTAAAATGACAATAATCAACTTCATATGGAAAAACAAAAGACCCCATATAGCCAAAACAACCCTGTACAATAAAGGATCATCTAGAGACATCACTATCCTTGACTTCAAACTCTACTATAAAGCTAAAGTAATGAAAACAGCTTGGTATTGGCATAAAAAACAGACAGGTGAGCAAATGGAATCGAATTGAAGACCCTGATATCAACCCATACACTGATGAACACCTTATTTTTGACAAAGAAGGTAAAATTATAAAACAGAAAAAAGAAAGCATTTTCAACAAATGATGCTGGCAAAACTGGCTGTCAACATGAAGAAAAATGCAGATAGATTCCTATCTATCACTATGCACAAAACTCAAGTCCAAGTGGATCAAAGACCTCAGGATAAATCCAGTTACACTGAACCTAACAGAAGGAAAGTGGGAAGTAGCCTTGAACACATTTGCACAGGAGATCACTTCCTAAATATAACACCAACAGCACAGACACTCAGAGCAACAATCAATAAATGGGGCCTCCTGAAACTGAGAAGCTTCTGTAAGGCAAAGGACATTGTCAATAAGACAAAACAGCAGCCCACAGAATGGGAAAAGATCTTCACTAGCCCCACATTTGACAGAGGACTGATCTTCAAAATATACAAAGAACTCAAGAATCTAGACATCAAAATACCAAATAATCCAATTAAAAATGGGGTACAGATCTAAACAGAGAATTCTCAACAGAAGAAATCTCCAATGACCAAAAGACATTTAAGGAATCATTAACATCCTTAGCCATCAGGAAAATGCAAATCAAAAGGACTCTGACATATTACACCTGTCAAAATGGCCAAGAACAAAAACTCTGATGACAGCTTGTGTTATAGAGGATGTAGAGAAAGGGAAACACTCCTCCACTCCTGGTGGGAGTGCAAACTTGTACAGCCATTCTGGAAATCAGTATGGTGGTTTCTCAGAAAATTGGGACTCAGGCTGCCTCAAGACCCAGCAATACCACTCTTGGGTATTTACCCAAAGAATGTACATTCACACCACAAGAACATTTGCTCAACTATGTTCATAGCAACATTATTTGTAATAGCAAGAACCTGGAAGCAACCTAGATGCCCCTTAACTGAAGAATGGATGGAGAAGATGTGGTTCATGTACACAATGGAGTACTACTCAGCGGGGGGGGGGGGGGGGGTCTTGAAATTCACAGGCAAATGGATGGAACTAGAAGAAAGCATCCCAAGTGAGGTAACCCAGTCACAAAAAGACAAACATGGTGTGTACTTGCTCATATATGGAGTTTAGACATAGAGCAAAGGATCACCAGCCTACCATCCACACCGCCAGAGAAGCTAGGAAACAAGGAGAACCCTAACAGAGACATACATGGATCCACCTAGGAAGGTGCAAAAGACAAGATTTCCTGAGTAAATTGGGAGCATGAGGAGTTAGAGGAGGGAGTTGGAAGAGGAGAGGGAAGGAAGAGAGGAGGGAAGGGGACTGGGGAAAAATGCATGCTCAATAAAAAAAATAGTATGTTAAAAATAAGTAAATGATGACACAGGGTATAAGGAACAAAAGGAATTAAAATTTGAAAGTTGCCAACACACAGATGAAAATCCTGTAAATGTCAACAGTTCAAAATATGAAAATATAGTAACAGAGTTCAGATCAGTGGTTTCATCTCAATAACCCAGGCATGGTAATGTGTAGACTGACCACAGTCCCCTAAAGCTGTGTAAAAGCCAGCCACCAGACTCACTCCTACAATGTCTCCGATCAGTAAGGCTTGCCATCTGCTTCATCAGCTAAGTCTACTTTTGTTTGCTTATTCTTTTGAGTCAGGTTCCTGCTGTGTGGCCTAAGCGGGCTTTGATCTAATCCTCTGCCTCAGATGCCTACGTGCTGGGATTATGGGATGCACCACCACATCTGCCTAGGCTATGTCTTGGATTATGAGGACACACTACTGACGGGGATGTCCTTCAGTATTATGTTTCCCTTATTGGTTGGTGAATACAACACTCTTTGGCCAATAGCCAGGCAGGAGGGACAGGTGGGGCATCCAGACCAGGAGAGGGCTGGGGAAAGGAAGGAAAGGGAGAGCACGGAAAGAGACGGACGCCATGTAGAGACCAGGAAGATAGGATGTGCCAGCCATTCCCTGGTAAGATAAGGCCATGTAGAAATACATAGATTAGTAGTTATGGGTTAATAATTAAGAGAGAGCTAGCCAGTAAAAAACCATAGCAACTGGCTAACAGTTTAGTTAATGAATATGTCTCTGTGTGCTTATTTAGGGCTAAAGGGCCGTGGGACCTGGCGGGACAGAAACCTCCATCTTCACATTACCACATGTGGCTATGCGATTTCTTATGTAACTCTCTGAACCCTACACAATAGACTCTAAAGCTACAGAAATGACAAAAAACATAGAAATGCTTCTCGACTCACCGCTAAACCCATCAACATGTTTTCACCCACTGTGATCTGAATTCGTAGTCCAAACAAAGCATTCATTCCTTTGAGTTTGAGCTTGTTCATCAGCTGAGTGTGGACTTCATATTCCATAAATGGCAGGAGATTACTGATAGCTGTGGCATTGGCTTCTGCCTGCGCTTTCTTTTTTAAGCGACATAACCTACAAAGGAGAGTAATTCTGTCTCAGTGTACAGTATTCCTGGTACCATCCTAAGAAACGTCCAGAAACGTTTGGTGGAAGACTTAAGATGAGTCAACAGACTGAAGGTCATTCAACACGATAAGATAAAGAAAGACTCAGTGTGACACTCTGAGTCAAAGAAGTCTCAAGGAGAAAAGGACCAAGTGTCTTACTACTGCTAAAGTTTCAAGGTGAAGGCAGAAACACCCAAGGGACCAGGGAGTCTGGCAGCTGCTGGTGACCTAGACACTTAAAGACTTAAAGGTCTTTGCTGCATGTGTGTGGCACTGTAGCATGCACCACTCTAATACTAAACAGCCCAGTGCTGCATGAAAGAAACATTACAGAAAACAGTCCTAAAACAATTCAAGCACCTAGTTCCAAAATATATGGGAGGTCTCCAAACAGTTGATGCTCAGCCACACTCCACGCTGAGCTTATTACATGCACACATGTAACAAGACATTTGTACAAAAGAATAGAAATATTAAAAAATTCTTGAGTACTACACAGTGTTGTTTTCTGTCAGCTGTATAGGGGATAAATATAAAATTCAAAGAATTGCCTACTTGGTTCAGGATCAAACATGAGAGAAACAATAGGCATTGCACAACAGGTTTATGACTCTGCACCTCCTGGTTTTCCAGGGACACCCCACACAGTTCTCACAAACATACCTTGCCTGAATGAGACAACCTTTCCCGATGACCACTGCATCGGTGGGCAGGTCTATGGTTGTAAAGAGAACATCGGGCACTTTTTGTTTCCTGCAGTTGTAACAGTGTGTGAGGTGAGCTGGGAATGGCATGTTCAGTTCATCGTACGGTATATGGCAGAATCCGCAGCCCACAGGCAAGTTTTCCTCAACCCTATGCAAACAGATTTAAAAAATAATATGGCACTCTACTCAAGATCCAATACCTACTCATTTCCCAAAACAGAAAAACAGCAAACAAGTGTCACAGAGCATTTCTAAAACACCTGGCATTTAAACAATATACACTGCATACACAGCATCTGTGTATAAACCCATACAACTTATTATCAGAGACGTGGAAATGCAGCTGTGACTAATAAGTTGCTACTCTAGTTACCTACACAAGATCTGCACAAAATAGGGACCACTAACAACCTACACAAGATCTGCACAAAATAGGGACCACGAACATCCCATCGTGCATGAGGAAGGCCCCACTGTAGTGAGATATCTACTCCACCCACGCCTGTTGTACTGACCATGCCCATTAGGGCACAGGGACAGGTGTGGGCATGACCAGTGGAGTATAGGTCTGGTCCCGGTCCGGATGCTCTCTGATGCCCTCTCTCTTACTGCCGGGTTGGAGACAGAGGAGATGGAGGACATCCCTGGAGCAGGAACCTGCAGCGGTCGTCTGTTTCTTGTGTAAGTGAAGTCTTCCCGAATAAACCTCAATCAGCCTGTATTATGTCCCAGAATCTTACTACCTGCTTTACCCCACTCCTGCTTGAGAGGCCACTGACACACTGTCAGTTAATGGCTGCTGAGGGAGGGATAAGAATTTTCTTCAGCGGAGTGGTCAGTTATGTAGTCCATGCTCCAGTAAATAACTTCCAACCCATGTCCCTAGAAGCAACCCTAATTAAATTCAGCAGGTCTCAAAACAAACAGAAAAGCAAAAAAAAAAAAAAAAAAAAAAAAAAAAAAGACAGGAGAGCAGAAGCCTGTTAGGGAGACGTGTTTCAGTGGGAGATGTGAGAGACGGCAATGGAGGAAAAGCCACCAAGACACACTAAATACATGAGAGAGATTACCAAAGAACTAAAAGTAAGGAATTATGGGAAATTTTTAACAACAAAAAAGTATTTGAAAAGAAAAAAACAAGTGTTAGAAAAGGTATACTCTAAGATTCCTTGTTTCTAGTAACTATTTTTAACATTCCTGGAAAACTAAAAGGCCTACTTCATATGAATACATATTACAAATAATCCAACAAGGAACACCCACAACCACTCTGTTCACTACAAGCGGTTCATACACGGTGTGTCTCCACGCCAATCATTTAACCTACATAGTGTGAGTCCACACCAATCATTTAACCTACACAGTGTGACTCCGCACCAATCATTTAACTTACCTCAGCCTCTTCCATCTATAAAACTGGGGTGACTACTTAGAAATGTTTATGGGGTTTTCTAGGAAAATCAAGAAAGCTACAGCTAAATATACCTATCCTGCAAAGGTAATGTCTGCCTGACAGATACAAATGCAAGTCCATTCAGTCTGACCCAGCCTAGGATACCACACCAGCCTGCTAAGGCACAAACTGACCTCCTCTTTGAGTTCTCATTAATCTAAACTCAGTGGGGTGACTTAAATGGAACCATTTTTAATTAAGCACTCTGCACACATTTGAGCATCTGCAGCAACATCACCAGGCACAAAAATCACAGCAGTACACTCCATAAAACATTTGAAACATAACAAAGTAGAAAGAACTTTCCTGAATACTGAGATTAAGGGAATCATTTTCCCTTATTCCAATATTCTCTAATATTCTCCAAATTATGTCTAGCATTCACTAATAATTCCATTCCATGGGTGTGAAGGGGATCTAGCTCGAGTAGTCAGAAAGTAGAGGCAGTTGCCACCAGGTCTGTCCCCTGAGTTTGGTCCCTGGAACCCACATGGGGGAAGGAAAGAGCTCACACCTACAATTGTCCTCTCACTACCAACCACATGTCACAGTACGTATGCCATGTGCTACACACACACACACACACACACACACACACACACCCCACATGTCACAGTATGTATGCCACCACGTTTTGCTACCTACCTACACACACACACACACACACACACACACACACACACACACACTAGATGTTTTAAAAATATCTTAGCAGAATTTGCTATACCCATCTACACCATAAAAGAAATACCCAGGACATTTGGGAAAACATTAAATAGTTTTCTAAGACAGTGGGGATGTGGCTCAGTGGCAAACCACTTGCCTAACATAATAAAACCCTACATTCAACTAACAGTGACCTTCTACCTCACTCAAGAATGCAATCAGATGGAGACATCCCTCAGGCATAGCTGACTGTAGCCTACCCAGCAAGCATATGCCCTGGCTCACTCTTCAGCCCAGGTGCTACATTATGCATCGGACAAATCACGCAATTGTACAGTCCAATTCTTAGACAACGTCCCCTACTTTGAAGGCTCTAGAATATAGATTGGGCAATATCCATTGAAAAGAAGCTAAGATCCTCTTCTTTTTTTTTTTAATTTATTTTATATAACAAAGTCCATGTAAATGAAAACAAACATTTACAGACAATATTTGGGTAAGATCCTCTTCTTTATGAATGCTAGCATATCAATCTACATTATATTCTCTTACAAAGTTATACTTAATTGGAAAAGAGAAGACTTTTATACTTTCTTCCTTAATTTGTATAATTGTTATTATCACAGTAGATGCCAATATTAAGCTAATAGTCCTAAAATACTTAAGTATATTTATTTACATATACATTGGACAGTTTCATCTGTTGATGAAAACATGTTTTATATTCATGTAAGCTAACAGTTTAAAGGTTAAAGAAACCAATAATTAGCAAGTTAAAAGCTAGTCTTACCTAACACTTTTATTTTCTATTTCACATGTATTAAAGTCATTTTTCATGAGGTTTTTAAGCAGTTTAGTCCAATACAGTAAGTGCTTTGATTGTTTAATGAAAGAGGAATTTATGAAAATAAGTTGTTTGTGGGGATGAGGCAAGAAGAGGAAAAGTAAAGTAAAAGAAATTAAAAGGATATCCTTGAAGTTCTTCTGTTAGTCCTACATGGCACTTTTAAAAGACACTGAAGATAAGATATAAGACAAAATGTTGTTGAAATATTCTTACACTGTGTGAAAATGTACTGCTGTGATGGTGTAATAAAGAGCTGAACAGCCAATAGCTACAAAGAGGCTAGGGGGACCTCCAGGGTCAGAGAGGACTCTGGGAAAAAGAAGGGAAGCGACATCAGAAGACATGGGGAGGAAACAGGAGGTGCAAGACAGGCGAGGCAATGTCATGATGGGACACACAGTAATACAAGTGGGCTAATTAATTTACAGGAGCGGACGAGGAACAAGCCGAAGCTATATAGGGCAAGCTTTCAAAATTAGAAAGAAGTCTCATGTAGTTACTTGCAGGCTTGCTACAAGAGTAGAATCCTGCACATCTGTTACCAAGTATCTGGTTACTGGCTGTGATGCTACCCAACTATCAGCCAATGACACAGAAAAACCCCCTGAGCTCTGAGATTTTAAAAAGTCAACCTCTCCATTCTCTGTTTAGGAAAGCAAGCAATGCCAACCTCTGTTCCAAAGAGCCATCCACAGTGCCTTCCTGCAGAAACCGAGGGCTCAATACAGCTGCCGTACCAGAGGCTGATAAAATACAGACTTCTTCACTAGAAGGGAAGAAAGAGAGAAAACACAGGTTAGTATTCCCAACAATAAACCTCCAGAAAACACTAAATAGCAAGAGTGACAAACTGAGTTCAAGTCAGACAGTCCTATATGTTAGATAATATTCAAAGACTATGCTCCTAACCCTAGGGCAGAAACAAGCAGAGTGCATTATCAAATGCATAGGGCAAAAGCTGCTGCAAACTAAAAAGTGAAAAAGATAAATTATTAGTAATAGTTTCCTGGGAGATTAAATAGTTAAAACTATAAATTCAGTAGCAAGCTACCAAACTGTATTACTCTAAATGTCTATAAATCTTTATTAAAATTATTCTAAAAGTACAACTATCAAAGTTATTTATAGTGCTATAGTTTAATCTGAATTAAAATCACTATACATACATATAATATATGTGACAGAAAACTTATTTTAAAAGGAATTCTTTTAAATTCTTCATTACAAACTGCCTGTCTTAAAAGCAAAAATAATTAGACAATAATAGATGTAACTGCAGAGTGGTGTCCCCCACAGCAAATGAGACAAGTAGCAGATTAGGGCCACGAAGGGAGAATGAGAAGTGAGTGTACAGAAGCTGGAGGGCAAGACAAAGATCAGCCACATGGTGTCGGAGCACAGGGCGCAGGCTGACGGCAGGCAGCCGGGCTCAGAGTGCCTGAGGAACCAGCAGAGTTCAGCACAGCAGTGTGCTTCAAAGAATTCCATCACTAACAGTAGGAAGGAGGGGTCGGGACAGGAAGAAAAAATATAAAGATGAGACTTAAATGCAAGGATGTTTGAGAGAAGTAGCTTCTGGCACATGAATCCAGACCCTGAAGTAAATTCGATGGACTAGAGGTCCTTGTGCAGTGACCCATCTTCAGCTATACTGAACCTTCCCTCCAGGACTCTCCACATGGGCATGAGCTCCGCAGAACCCACACGCCTTTTCTCTGCATCTGTGTCCCTCATGTTCACTCTCCAATACATCACGGACACTGAGTGGCAGTGTACTCACATCCCATTCCCAGCAACATATAAGCATATGGCAGTGAACAAGGCAGGGCTTGCCGGGAGCAACGTGAAGTAGTTACAGAGTCAGCAGTTACCAGGGGCTGGAGAGATGGCTTAGTACCACTTACTGCCCTTGCAAGGGACCCAGGCAAAGTGCGTCTAACAACTAACAGTGTCTAACAGTTTCAGGGTATCCAACAGGCGCACACATATACACGCATGCATGCAGACAAAAATATTCCTACACATAAAGTAAAAGAAATAAATCTTAAAAATAGAAAAAAAATCTATTCTATGGTAATAGAAAGGTTTGAAGGTAAATATGTGGCCTGAACACAAAATAATAAATAACACAGCTCAGTAATATTCATATTTACCGCAAGTTAATGACTTTTCTTTGACAGTAATGATCAACACATGAGCAGAGAATCTGCTAGTAAGAATTATGCAAAATAGAGCAGAAAAGTAAGACAGCACAAACAACTCTTTAATTACCACAATTACCAAGATGGGGTTCAAAGATGATTATACATATATATATATATGTATATATATGTATGTATGTATGTATGTATGTATACACACACACACACACACACACACACAAGCACACATGCGCCTAAGATAACAGTCTAAACTGGGTATAAAGGACCAAGTGGTAATGGTGGGAAAACATTAGGTTCTAATCTGAGAGTAAAATTTCATAATTTCACATTTTTCAACGGACCAACAAGTCTAACACATACTAAAAAGTCGAGTGGCAATAGAGGACTTCATAACAAGAAAGTCTGATTCTAGCTGTGAAGAGGGCACAGCTGACGAGTGACCAGGGCAGGACACGTGGAGGCAGGAAGCCGTCAGCAGACAGCACGGCTCTGGGCAGAGAGACGGTGCGGGTGAAAGGCAGGAGGAAAAGAACCCAAAATACGAAAGCCTCTCCCTAACTTAGCAGGTAGAATGCTTTGCTAGCAAGAAAAAGTTCCATCCCAGCTTATAAATGCAAGTACAGCGGCTTTGCTTTTTTTAAATAGGAGGTCTATGTAGCTCCTGGCTGGCCTGGAATTCAGTATGTTGCCCAGGCTGGCCTCACACTCACTGAGAGGCATCCGCGTCCCAAGGGCAGGGATTGAGGCTGCCTGAAGACTAACCAGAGACAGTTGGCAATTCATTTACAAAACACTGAGCGCTCCCTCCCAATGTCCCACTGGAAGGCCGCAGCAACTCCAGTGCTACAGGCCAAGGGCTACTAAGTTGGTGTGCCGGTTATTATACTCATTTGACCTTCAACGCCCAGAGCACAGTTTGCTTTCCCACCACTTTAAGAGATAAGCCAGGGCTCTCAAGTTCACAGAGACCAAGCGGGCGGGAGGCAGCTTGACCCTGCCTGGATGCACTCAAGGCCCAGCTGGCCTCCCTCTGCGCTCCTCTTCTCAGATGCACACCTCATCTCTCCCAGCTCACAAGACAAGGCAATCAGTGTCAGGAAATCCAAGCAGCCATTTACCAGATGCTGGTTGACTCGCTGTAGCCCACTACAGCATGGCAGCCTAAGGCTTTAGCATGTGACTTTATCTCTTGTCTGATTTCTGCCCACCATGCATCTCGAGTTTCGGGTTCATCTGAAAAATAAAGTTTCAGTCAGTTGACCACGCACCAGCACACGACACATTGACAGGGAGTCTCTGCAGTGAGCCTGACCCTGGGACATGAAGCACTGACCACGCTTTACTCTTCCTGCTTTCCACAAGAATCAAGACTGAACCCTGAAACCCCACTGTTAGGACAGACCACTCTGCTCTAGTAGCTTTAGTTCTTCAAGGGACACTTGCAAGGCATGTACTCCAGCATAGCAGCAGACATCTTAATAACTATGGTTTCCAGACTCCGATCTGGTTTGTTGACTGATCTTGGGGACAGGATCTCATATACAGTTCAGGCTGGATTCAAACTCTCCAGGTAGCTGAGGATAACCTTGGCCTGATCCTTCTGCCTCCACCATCTAAATGCTAGCTAGGGTCCCAGGCGCGTGCCATCACACCCAGCTCAGATTCTAAACTGAGAGGGCACACTGTGTCTCAGCTCACTGAGTGAATACCTTACATGTCCTATCCACAAATTTGATTTAAATTCTGTTTTCATATTGTCACCTACTTTTATAATCCACTACATTCTGAGTTCTTCCCAAGGTAAAAATTCACAAATATTCAAAAAATGGTATATAAAAAACTTTCATTTGCCATTCATAAGTTTATTTAGAACTTTAGATGTAAGTTCTAGGGCAGAATAATAGGGTATAAAAGGGCAAGCTAATCTAAAAAAAAAATGGGAGGGGTTAGAAAAAGAAAAAGGTATATTTAAAAGGTTAACACAAATAATTTGGTTAATAAAGAAGGGAAAATTTTAACAATTATAAACTCCATACGTGGCCTATAACTTCAAAAGTAGATCACAGGCATGGGGACCTGTGTCTTAAGTCCTGGCTACTTGGGTTTAAACCTAGCCTGGTCAACAAACTGAAGCTCCTGTCTCTACCATAACAAAGATGGCTCAAGGCCTAGGGATAAACTAAGTGGGAGAGGCCCTGGGTTCACTGCAGTCACAGGGAGCTCTAACATCCCTTGTCATGGGGCACTGTGGATAGAGGGGTGGCCGTGGGGTGGAGGGGTGGCCGTGGGGATGGAGGGGTGGCCGTGGGGATGGAGGGGTGGCCGTGGGGATGGAGGGGTGGCCGTGGGGATGGAGGGGTGGCCGTGGGGTGGGGGGGGGCCGTGGGGGGATGGAGGGGTGGCCGTGGGGATGGAGGGGTGGCCGGGGGATGAGGGGTGGCCGTGGGGATGGAGGGGTGGCCGTGGGGTGGAGGGGTGGCCGTGGGGATGGAGGGGTGGCCGTGGGGTGGAGGGGGTGGCCGTGGGGATGGAGGGGGTGGCCGTGGGGATGAGGGGTGGCCGTGGGGGATGGAGGGGGTGGCCGTGGGGTGGAGGGGTGGCCGTGGGGATGGAGGGGTGGCCGTGGGGTGGAGGGGTGGCCGTGGGGATGGAGGGGTGGCCGTGGGGATGGAGGGGTGGCCGTGGGGATGGAGGGGTGGCCGTGGGGATGGAGGGGTGGCCGTGGGGATGGAGGGGTGGCCGTGGGGTGGAGGGGTGGCCGTGGGGATGGAGGGGTGGCCGTGGGGATGGAGGGGTGGCCGTGGGGATGAGGGGTGGCCGTGGGGATGGAGGGGTGGCCGTGGGGTGGAGGGGTGGCCGTGGGGATGGAGGGGTGGCCGTGGGGTGGAGGGGTGGCCGTGGGGATGGAGGGGTGGCCGTGGGGATGAGGGGTGGCCGTGGGGATGGAGGGGTGGCCGTGGGGTGGAGGGGTGGCCGTGGGGATGGAGGGGTGGCCGTGGGGTGGAGGGGTGGCCGTGGGGATGGAGGGGTGGCCGTGGGGTGGAGGGGTGGCCGTACACTTCTTAACCACCTGCATTTTGGGAGTGAGCAACCACTGCAAGGGAAACTCACTCTCCATGGCAAGGGTGCTAGCAACAAAGGTGGACTGTAACAACGAGGGCACCTGACTTTTCCCTTCTTGTGGTCACCAGCCGTTTGGAAGGACTGAAACTCTAGAGTACAACACTAAGCTCTTACTGTACATGTTTTACACAAAAGGTATTTCTAGTACAGAAAACCAAGTAAATACCACTTTATGCTTACAGCACAGCTCTATCAAATTCTCAGCAGAGGCTTTGACAGCAAAGGAAGTGAGAGTATGCTCACTAGTGAGTCAGTGAGGGGGAAGGAAGGAAAGGCTAAGAAGCACACCAGAGCTCACATCCCCGCGATGGGCGTCTCCTCTGCAAGGAGGGGACGGCGAGGGGACGGATGGGGAGGTGGGTGTCAGCCGCTCTTGAGCTGTCTGGGGTTTGAGACAGAGCTACCCTAGCACTTCCTTCAGAGGGAAGGGAAGGAAGAAGGGGCAGACTTGAGGAGACTGGGAAAGATGGAAGTACAAGGGAAGGGGAAGGAGGGAGGGCAGGACAGGCTGCCCTGCCCCGTACTGAGAACGGAGAGACACATAAGCATCCACAGCCCGCTACAACCGTGTTCTCACACTCAGGGCACAGATGTTTACACCGAGAGCATAAAGCACTTCAGAGTTCAAAATCACTGCTGCTAGCAACACACACATGCCTTTTTGGACTTTTCTTTGTTTGAGATAGGCCTTGCCCGAGTAGCCTCAAACTCACTACACAGACCAAGCTGCTGGAGCGTGCTGCAACCCTCCTGGCTCTGCCTCCCCAGTGCTAGGATTACAAGCATGAGCCATCACGCTTGGCTGGACATGCGTGCTTGTGTGTCAATTTAAACATCCATGTAGCCTCATCCTTTCCCAAAAGGAAATTATAGCAGAGGACAAACTATGACCTATGTAGTGTTCTCATCTGTCAAATCATTTATAGTTCTAAGAAAATAACTTTGTCTAGAGAATAATTGTTTCGCTAAAACACTGTACCAAATAAGTCAAACTTTTCTCAAACTCATTAATGGAATTTGCTATTTACTTTCTGACTCACTCTAGAAGTTTAGACTACTTTCTAAGGCAATCACTGTTAAAACAGTTTTCTCACAGTAGACTCACCTTACTTGTAACAAGTTAAAACATGGTAGAATCCCTGTTTTTAAAAAAAGGGGGTTTATAGGCAGAAATAATTCAAAAATAATGAAGAAATGGAGGGAGATAGTTGTTTTAAGCTTGAAATGCATTTATTTAGAAATGCCCAGCATGGTCAAATGCAGAAGGGTCAACAGCTCCCTTGAGGTATGTGTTGTAAGCACGTAGAATACAGTTACTCCACACCAGACTTACCTTGGTATAACATAAAACAACAACAGATAGTTAAACCAAAGCCATGGAAGAAAAAGTGGCTGATTTGGAGAGCAAGAGCGAGAGCGAGCTGACTGAGCGCAAGTGCAGCATTCACACCCTCAGGCATGCTCACAAGCAGCCTCCACTCTGACACAGCCACACGTGCATGAGATGCCAGTACTACCCTTAGCAAAGTATTGACGGATGTAAAATGCTAGCTATATGACATGGGCGCCGAGGAAGAAATGGCATGGTCCACACTCTGCAAATGTTAAATTCGGTTTGGGCTAAAGCAAAAGCTAAGGAGCAAAGGGTTTGCGAAGCAGATTTGGCAAACAGGAGCCAGGACGGGTGATGTTTTGGCACATGCTTGGGTCAGGTGACAGCATGGACTGAAAACTATGGCAGCTCACTGAAATGGTCACAGAAAGGAATGGCCCTAGACTCTAGGTGAGAGCGAGGCAAGCGCACAGGAGGAGCACTCTGTCAGTAGTCACTCTGGCCGCCATGGCCACTATACTGTAAGCGAGAGCGAGGGGTGAGGGTTACTGGGCTACAGAAAGTTCAGGCTAGTCAGTATTTTAGCACTGAGAGAGATTCTATTTATCTTTAAAGCCTACACTACAATCATGGCAAAAATGAGCCACAGGTTCAGAGTATTTATAATTAGTATATCTTATTATCAATTAAAAAATCAGCTATCTCACATTATTTAATTTCTATAATGAACTTTTTAAAGATTTAATAACTGCTAACTAAATTTTAATAGGAAACAGACTATTGAACCTATTTATTTCATTCACTGTACCAAAGCATAAATGTGTCATTCTATCATACTTTTATAAAAAGCAAAACAGAGTCTGGCTTAAAAGTGTCTAGCAATTATCCATATAGTACATGGGTGCTATTAGTCATTTTAGGAAAATACAGCTGAGATGTGAACTCACTTAACAAGCATTCCGAAGGCAATAAGAAAATGATTTCCACATTAAATACCATAGTCCTAGGATTTATACAATTATTTCTAATTTTTAAAATTTTAGGGAAAATCAAATGTTAATTATTACACAAACTGTATTTCACACTATTTTTAAGTCTTACCATCTCCTCTCAGCAGCACACATGCACCAGGGTTCGCTCACACTGCTCATTGGTGGGGTGCCCCCACTACTGCTGGCTAGAGCACATTCTTTCCTCCTGGTGCCTTTCTAGAACATGGTCACAGCTTGATATCTTGCCATCTTTTTGTTTCATAAGTGAGGGTGGATTTACTAAAGATTTTTGAATGCCAATGTGTATCTCAGGAAGACCAGGATCAGCTCAACAGAAAATGCCTTTACCAAGCCCAACTCTTCAGTGAGTGATTTTAGGCAATTACACATTTGTAACTAAGAATGTTAAAAATCAGTTCTGTTTAGAGTTACTCAACATAGTTTTTGTGCGTTTTTTTTTTTTTTTTTTTTTTTTGCTGAAATAGGGCTCAGCATATAGACACAACTAGCCTCAAACTCACAGTCCTGCTCAACTTCACATGTCCCACAATTACGAGTAGGAGCCATCACATCCAGCTCAACCTAACGTTAAAAATGAACAGAAGGAGATAAAGATGTTGGGCTGGATCGAGCAAAGGCTGAATAGGCTCATCTAGGTGCTGAGCAATGTAGGGAAGCTACATTCCCAAACACTGGGAAGTCACCTCCCCTGGAGTAACAGAAATTAAAATGTTCAGGTTCAACAGAGTTCAGCGTCAAACTGGGTAGGGATTAGAACCAGACTGAGAAAAAGACCCTCACTGCACTGGAAATGACATGCAGGGGGTTAGAGAACGTCAAAGCTTAGATGTCAGTGTGGTAGCTGGCATACAAGCCAAACACACTGCATCTAACTGAATGCTGCTCCTTTTTTAAGACATACACAGTTCACGCCAACCAAAACTTCACTGGCTACGCATCATGTGACAGGACAGCCTTATGCAAATCACTGGTGCACACAGCAAGCCCTGCAGGCGGCTGCCAGGGCCTGTGAAAACAGACTACAGCTGAGAAGCAGAGGCTGTCTGTATCTACCTTACTTCTACCTGGGCAACAGTACCCAGAAAAGAACAGCTGAGAGCCCAGCAGGGTCCACATTCCCAGGGAGCCTGCAGGACTTCTAACAATCTAGTTAGCCTTCCACATCTAACTAACCCGGCTGGGAACAGGAGGCCGACCTGGCTTAATGATGTCCCCATGTGCCAACACAGTGCCCAGCTCACATGAGCAAGCCACAAGCCACTCAGTCACAGACAGCTGTGACAGTGTTTAAGTTTTGTTAAAGCGAATGAACAAATTCAGATGTTATTTCCTTACACATCTGGCTGCCTCACACTCATTTTTTGCTTTTAGATTAAGCCTCTCTATATAACCCTAGCTGTCCTAGAAATCCAGTCACTCTGTAGACTGGAACGGCCTCAAACTCAGAGATCTGCCTGCCTCTACCCCCCAAGTGCTGGAATCAAGGGTGTGTGCCACTATACCAGGCTAGTCACATTTTCTTACAACGTAATATTTTGTAAAGTAATAAACTTATTTTTCAAGTTTTTAACTGAATTTTTGCTCCCAAAATGAGCTTTCTAAAAAAAATAAAAATGACTGTGATTAACAAAAAAGCATTTTCTTATTTCAAACTACTACAGCTTACCTTATAACTCAAGTCTATTATGACTGAAAACAAAACAAAACAAAAACAGGCATATATCCTATGTCCTAAAATTCATGAATCATCCAAAAATATCCTTAAAACTCAAAAATATTCTCAAAACCAAAACCAGCAATCTCCTTTTAAACATTTTTCTGGACATAGAAGATCAAATCAAAAATACTGTGTGAAGATAGCACCCTCCCCTTGCTTGAGAGCTGACAGACAGCTGTTCTGCATGCCACATATACAAGCACATCCTGCTGGCTCCACACTCCCAGTCCATCACCATGGTAAAGAGGAGAGGTGGAAGCCAGTCACTTCAGCTGCACCTGCACCTCTGCTGTATTCCTCAGATTGCTTAAGGAAGCTACTGTTGCCAAAGATCTCTTAAGACTCAAAAATAACCTGCTATTGTAAAGCATTCAGATGGGGTCTGGCATGCAGTAATATGCTCAAGCCTCTCTAACTTGTCTCCAGCCAGATCTGTGGAGAGGCCGTGTCCGCCAGGATGACCAAAGGGCACATTATCGTTACCACATTCTCCTTACTGTGAACTCATGGCCGCCCCGAGGGCCACGCGAAGAGCGGTGACCTCTCAGCTGGCTTTCCAGCTGCTAACATCCTCCCCACCCCACTCCTGCCCCGCTTTTCTCAAATTCTGTCTGCAGAACAGAAAAAAATCGGGAAACAAAAGGTATCACAGTAAGCTCTCAGATTCATGGGGGGGGGGGGGGATTTGCTTCTTCCTAGTACATAAAAATGCCCATCAGTGTGGTTAAGAACTCTAAGACGAAGCACAGGGCAGGAGGCTAAGCCGGAAGGAGCCCTGGTACTCTGCAAAGTAACTAGACTAGCACACCACCAGAGGAGCCCTGGCTCCCAGTGACTCAAATGCTGGAGGGTTAGAACAGCACAGAGTATGCATCCCTATGGGGCTGATGAGTTACAGGTTATAACTATAGGTTATAGAAATCTATGAAAACCTGACAGATAGCCTTCAAATGTGAGCCTTCAATCAGCACAGCCAACAGTTAGCCATGCCTGCTTCCACTCTGTACCACACAACACAGTATCATGTGTAATACTTTTCTGTCATCTAAGAGCACAGATTACATAAAGACAGGTGACTGGCAATCTTTGTCCTCTAGTGTCTAACTGCTACAAAATAAATAACAATTCAGTCATGCATCACTCAGTGATAGAGACATGTGTTCTGAGAAATGCCACACTAGTCGGTGGTCACCACTGTGAAAACAACATAGCATGCGATGGATGACACACGTGAAGCAGCCAAACCCAAGGTAACAGGAGCTGATGGGACATCCATGATGCATGATTACGGTGTCAAAAATACTCAAAAAATAAAGTATGAGCAACTTTAGAGTTAAAAACAGTATCAATAATTATCATTCTTACTAATGGGGATCAATTGTTTGGGTTTTTATTTGTTAGTTGTTTTTTAACTTTGGTGTATGGGTATTTGCCTGCATTTACGGCTGTACCATGTACATGCATACAGTACCCCGGTGGAGGCCAGAAGAGGGGGCTGGGTCCCCTGGAAGTAGAGTTAGAGACAGCTGTGAGCGGCCATGTGAGTGCTGGGAAGAGCCTGTGGAAGAGCAGCCAGTGCTCTCAACTACTGAGTCATCCCTCCAGGCCTACATGTGGACAATTCCTGACATTTTGAAATTATGGGACAGTGCTGGCAAAAATACTTCCAAATTTCAGGATATATAAAAATTATTTGAATGTATTTACCAAACATACCCCATTTTCTTCATATTTATCAAATTAAGTGTCATAATCAGCCTTATTTCCAAAGGTAACTGCGCTATGGCCTGGACCGTAGGATGGCACTATGGACACGCCACACTAAAGCACTCGCTGCCTTTCCGTAGTCTGCTGGGTCCATTCTTCTGAGCAGTCTCACATCATAGCTTGGGCTGGCCTGGTCTCCCACGCCTCGCCCGCCCCACACGTGGCTCCATACCCACTTCTCTTTTGCACACGCCCCATCAACATAACATTCAGTGATGGCAAGATATACTGCTTCCTCAACCATGTTTGTCCTTGCCAAACAGCTGCTCTGCGTCTCAGAGTCCCTGCCCTTGCCTTACAATCCACTTCTGTCATCTGACTAGTAACTACCACCCTAAACATGGCTCATCTGACAAGACCTCACTTTCTCTAAGTTGCTAATAATCGCTACCATTCTTAGGCACAACCTGCTTTTCTAATTGCTCTAAGCAAACCATGTATTGGAATATACTCTTACTTTGTAAAACAAATCTAATAGGGTATATTTCATTTTCTCACTAAAAAGAAATCATAAAACAATCCTTTTTATTTCAATGAATGTCAGCACCATGGTTCAACCCTGCCTAGAAAATAGAGGTAACTTCCTTAAAGAGTCAGAAAGTGGCACACCTCTCCAATTGCACAGGCTGACGAAGCCAGATCATGAATATGACTCACTCATAGTCAGACAATAACCATCAGCTTTTATCTTTGACTCCTGCGTACACAGAACACCAGAAGGAAAGCATTGCCTAAAATGCTGAGCCCTTTGGTGCTTTTTCTTCACTATAAAATACACTGACACAAAGAACTGAAAAAGATCCTTAAATATCAGCTTTAGAGTTTTATTAAAATAGTCCCAAATTTTAATTCCAAAAATAATTTTAGATATTTATATTAGTAAAAAAAGTGTTTTTTTTCAAAAAGAAAATAATTGGCATTACTAAAACACATCATCAGCTGTAAGTTTTCTTGTTTCTTTTTTAATTGCTATGGATTATATTCAAATTACTTATAAAGAAAAATTGGAATCTCACGTGGAAGGAGAAAAGCTTATATATGTTGTTAATCTCCCTGCAAAATCTAACCTGCTATGAAATTTTGGAACACTTCTAGCATTATAAATAAAAATGCCAAGAGTCACATTTCCTAGTAATTTACAAAGCAGTAAACATATTCTATTAAATCTGATGGTGAAGTTTAAACATGCTTTATGGTTTATCACGCTGGTTGTTTAATGTATTTAACAAATGCTGATTGATGATAAAGCTAATGCCTGTATCACTTACCAGATATGAAAACACTGGCCAAAATGCATAAATAGAATTTAATAATATTCTGAAAGTTAGTCACATAAGAAAAGTCATTCATAATTTATGGTATGGTTTTGATTCACTTTAGCTCATATGTTTTTATACTTGCATTTCTATGCAAATTAGAAGTTGTGACATAACTATTACAGAATGCATTCATGTAACTGAATTCATCTATTTAATCTAGAACATCTCTAAAACCTCACTGAGCTGCCATAATTTCTGTCAGCATATGTAATACTGAATGACCAGTAAAATACCTGAATTGAAACTATTCCAGTCTAGCAGTTTGTAAGATCTTGTGTTACCCATAATTCCGACAAAGGCTGAGTTCAAAACAGCAAATTAGTTGATCAGTTTTATGTGCAGAATAGTAGGAATTAAAAAAAAAAAAAAAACTACAAACAAGAACACATTTGACAACAGCATTTGACAGGAACTGGAAGACAGACAGCAGAGTTAATAAGGAATAGAGACAGGAAAGGCAGGAGAGGCAAGCTACAGTAACCTAGAAGGAACTGTCTCGTCCCTTGTCGCCCAGTGCTCGGAAACCACCCATCTTTCTCTGTTTATGCTTCACCTTGCCTGGTATTTAACAAAGGAAGGAGCGCTAAGAACATGGAAATCATCACCAAGAGAAAAAGTGGTCATTTTGTTTTGGTGTGTGTGTGTGTGTGTGTGTGTGTGTGTGTGTGTGTGTGTGTGCGTGTGCGTGCGTGTGCGTGTGTGTGTGTGCGTGTGTGTGTGTGTAGCTCTGGCTGTGCTAGAACTCACTCTGTAGACCGGGCTGGCCTCAAATTCATAGAGATGATCTGTCTATGCCTCCCAAGTGCTGGAATTAAAGGAGTGTGCCACCACCATCCAGCTGGGGCAATGATTTAAACCAAGATTTTTTCCCTTTTCCACTGAAAATGAAATTAAAATGTCGCAAGGAAACACTGCACGTGTATCCCCAGCGACGCTCAGTCTCTCGCAGCACAGCATCAGTGCTCATCCCCCTACAGCATCACCTGATGGGTCCAAGCCAGGGTTGCTGGGTTCACAGACTGTTAACCATCAAGATTTTCTCAAGTAATGATATCTTTTTTCCATATATTTACTCAAGGGGCTTAGAGAAAGTGTTAGGTAAATGTTCCATTTCAGTGCATAATATATACATAAAAGAATTCAAAGAGAGTTTACTTTAAATCAAAATAAGATATTGGGACCATTAGAATAAGTAGTTGACAGGTATTATACTGAAAACAAGGCAAACTAAAAATGTAACTATACCATTTCATAGTATTTACATATATATATGTATATGTACATATATATATGCACTTGAACTTCTGAGAATAATCCATTAATAATAACTGAGGCTTCCCATGCATGATGGACAGCTATTCTGAGAGGGGGGGAAAACGGGTTCTCAGGTTTCTTGTATGGGCTGGAATCAACTGGTGGGAATGATGAACTCTTGAAGAGTACAATAAGTAACATTTGTAGATAATTATCTCCATTAAAAGCCATCAAACCTCAGCAATCGTCCATGGGAGCACAGTGACCATCAGGCCTCTTCGCCTGGTCTTTCCTTACACTCCTCCTAACTGAATTCCTACAGGAAGCAAGAAGTTGGCATCATCTGCACAAATTTCATGTGCTACATGGCAGCAGAGAGACCACCCTCTGAGTGCTACAGAGTGTGCAAATACCCTAAGGAAAAGGAGATCTTACACTGACCAGAAAAATGAGAAATGGGGAAAATAACCCAAACTAAACTAATACTGGAGCTGAGGTGATGTATTTGCTCACTAGAGCTAAACAAGCATGGCTAGCATCACCTTTCTGAAGTCTCATTTGCAGCTCAGGTGAAATCAAATCACAGAGCACCGATCAAACTTAATTGTAAAGAGCAGTAACCCTCTGTTAGTCTCAAAAGCACTATCTGCAATGTTTTCACCCAATAATTACAGAGCATTCTTTTCTTCTTTTCCTACATGTCACAAAGAAGTATCTGGAAGTGGTGAATTAAAGTCTTCTGAGCCAACATCGCTTCATGTTATGGTGCTTCAGCAAATGTCTGGGCATGAAATACGACTACCACTGATGATGCTTGCTGGGTGAGAAAACTCACCCAGCTATTTCTAATTCAAGGCCCTCAAAGTGCCAGGCCTCTGCTGCCTGCCGTCTGGGTCATTTCCATGCTTGCTTTAAAGACATGAGCTACTGCTCCTCCTTGTTTGTTCACACCGGCAAGTGAAGAACATTAACAACGTAATGTAATGGCCATGAAGGCCAAACAGTAAAAACCTTTATCTTCAAAAAGCAAATATAAAGCTAACCCAAATGTTAATTAATGATCCCCTCAAAATGACACCCCAGGCAGAAATAAATCAGAATGTGTTCACTTGCTGTCCACTAAAACTAACTAATGTATACTTCTTAGCTTATCTTTAATTGCAATTACTGAAAATATTTCAAAATTACATGTGCCAGTTTATAATCTGTTTTCATCTCTCAGATTAAATTTGCTTCTCTTCAGGTTAAATCAATTTTTCCAATCACACCTTAAGTAAAAGCAGATTTATTAGAAAACATACCAGGATTGTGGATCCGATCTAAAAGTTTCACAGAGCGTGCACTAACAACACCCCCGACATGCACGAGGAGTCCAGGGGGGAAGGCGGTCAGGGTGAGGAAGGGGAATTCCTGCAGAAGACAAGGAAAAGGACAGGCGTGACCAACCGGGCAGTAAAGGCTCTGCTCAAGCAGACCCTAGCACGTGAAATGCATGGCCTGAAATAAACACATCACACCTGCTTTTTTCATTAAAACTTCCCGTACACTCACGGCTTCAAGTCTGTCCTCTACATCCGAGGTGACACTAAGAATCCAGCTGCTTTATCAGTTCTGACTGAGGGGAAATGTTCAATCCCCAGCTGAGCTACTTAGAACACACTCTTCTCAAACTCCTACTCGAACACCATTTTCCAATGACTCAGCGCTGGACAGTGGGACAGCCCATGTGCATTTCTCAGTAATGATGTCTCTCACATACAGGCAACACAGCCTATTGGCTACTGCCCTGCACGTAACAAGAGACATAGGAAAGGGGAGTATCCGGCATGGAGTAAAGGGTGGGCTGTGTGAAGAGTGAGAGAGCGAGAAAGAGAAAGGTAAACAGGTAGTTGAAGTGAGAGCCAATCACTGCGCGGCCAGAAGCAAACAGAACCATGTACGGTATTAGAAAAAGAAACAAGTGCATGGTAACAGTCAGGGAAGCAGCAATCCTGCATGTGGCTCCTTCTGCCATAGGATGCCAAGCAGAACTCAAAAGAAAAATGAAAGTCTAGGGAACTTACCGAAAGAGCACAGCAGGGGATGGGAACGTCTGTGGTTGTCCAAACATGGGCCATGGAAAAAGTGATGCAAGGAAAGGGGATTGCTACCTGACCTGTCTGTCTGTGAGGTGAATGCAGCTCTCTCAACTGGAAGTCACTTACCAACAGCCCTGACCACTTCAACATAGTAAGAGCTGGGAAACATCCCAACAGAGCCCTGCAAGGGTTCAGGATTGGGGATCATGCACTGTATTCCCAAGGCATCGCCACAGGGGGTGATCACACTGGCAGAAAGGAACTACAGACACTAAAATACTCATCATCTTAAACGTCATCATTATCGAATTTTCTAGGCCACGGCATACTAAATACGACAAATAAAAGAGCTACTACTAAAAGCAGGCGCGTATAAAAGCAGCAAGATGGCCAACTGGCTGCTGGAAGCATGCAGTGAGTATACACGGTTACTGAAGGACAATGCACACAGCAGATCGAACAGCATATCAGCACAGAGCACAGAGGACAGTCCCCACAGCACAGAGCACAGAGGACAGACCCCTCAGCACAGAGGACAGAGGACAGTCCCCTCAGCACAGAGGACAGTCCCCTCAGCACAGAGCACAGAGGACAGTACCCTCAGCACAGAGGACAGTCCCCACAGCACAGAGGACAGTCCCCACAGCACAGAGGACAGTCCCCTCAGCACAGAGGACAGTCCCCACAGCACAGAGGACAGTCCCCACAGCACAGAGGACAGTCCCCTCAGCACAGAGGACAGTCCCCACAGCACAGAGCACAGAGGACAGTCCCCTCAGCACAGAGGACAGTCCCCTCAGCACAGAGGACAGTCCCCACAGCACAGAGGACAGTCCCCTCAGCACAGAGGACAGTCCCCACAGCACAGAGCACAGAGGACAGTCCCCTCAGCACAGAGGACAGTCCCCTCAGCACAGAGCACAGAGGACAGTCCCCACAGCACAGAGGACAGTCCCCTCAGCACACCTCGCAATCCACGAACACATGGGTGGGCACACACATTGCACATTAAAGTCCAGTCAAACTTACAAGTGATTTTCACTTTAATAAGGCAAGAGCTGCTACCCTGTATGAGAAGTGTAAAAAGCAGAGCATAGAACTGTGCATGTCTGACCCAGACTGAAACGTGGAAGAGAACAGTAGGAAACACATAGCTAAAGGCACAGAATACATTTTGTCAAAAATGTATCCTTATTTCTACCTGAACTTTTGTACTTTAAATTTTAAATTAGACACATATAGGTTGTTAATGTTATTAAAATGTAGTAAGTTGGGTCCATAGAATTTTCCAGGGTTTTTTTTTTTTTTCCAATTTTAGGAAAAATTACATTTTAAAAGTCCCTTAAAATATCAAAGTTATATGATGATCCCAAAGAATAAAATGTTACTTTGTACTTATCCTTTATACATCTATCTTTTAAATATTAAGACAAGAACCACTATATACAAAATGTTCACACGCTAAAGGGGAACCGGACTCCTAGCCCTGGGGACAGTAACTTAGTGTAGAGTCTGCCTTGCTTTGTACAGAGTCCGAGGTGTGATCATCTAAAGAGATGGAGAGATAGTGGGAGGGAGGGGAGGGGAGAGGAGGTGAGTGAGATGGGGAGGGGAGACCTGATAAAGAGTGAACCAGAAGATTCCATACTAACAACACAAGCAGCCATGCTGCTTCAGGAGGGGTGGCTTGCTCTGCTGACGGGGTGCCCTCTTAACACAGCTCCAGTCCATCAAGCCAGCACACTCTTTCACTTTTAAATACAAGATTTAATAGACAATAAGCAAAAACTGTTTCACTTATTTGGGACAAAGTCCATGCACAATTAAAGAAGTTACTGCTGCAGTAACAGCAGTGCACTCGGCCATCTCCACACCACTGAGACCTGAGACTGTTAGCACGTGCTGATCCACGCCAGGTCACGGTAACCCAGAAAATGACTTTCAAATCTTCCCCAACTACTGTAACTCCATGCTACTGTAACTCCATGTTTTAGAAAGCGGGGCCTTCTATTCCTGTATCCCTTAGCAATAAACATTATCACCTATATTTGTTCTTATTTCTCATCAAGTATCATTCAGAGCTTGCTTTAATTCAGTCTGTGCATTTCACCTGCTGAATTTATAGCCTTGCTCTTTGCTTCCCCACACTGACAAAGGAAGCTTCCCCGACATCGGTTCAAGCATTCTCTGCTCTCAATATCTGACTGTCAGTTTGAGAAACTGTAACAGACACATTCCCCAGAACGTCCATCAGTATCTAACGCAGCCTTCCTGTTGTCTCCAGGTGAATTTTACTTGTTGATGCTTTGATATAAGCCAAGAGTACAAATTATAAAAATATTTGATAGTGTGTGATTAAAGAAAGGCAGTTGGAAAAAAATCAATAAAACATAGCAGAAGTATTATTTTCAAGAGATTTACATGGGGTTTTTCTTCAAAGATAATATTTTGTTATCTCCAGAGAACACAGTAAATTTCTAGATAAAAACCCCATGTATACCTACAGAGATGGCTCAGCAGCTAAGAGCAACCCCTGCTCCCAAGGATCCAGATCTGGTTCCCAGCACCCATGCCAAGCAGCTTACACCACCTATAACTCCATGTCCAGGGGACCCAATGCCTTCTGCTGGCCTCCACACACATGCAAACACATACAAGCACACACAGAGACAATTTCATCACATTTCTAAGGAGATCTTCATTCGATATAAATCTACTCTTTGTCCATGTTTCCCAAAAGTGTGTTCCTTGGGAATAGGTAAGCTACTGTGTGTACTAGGCTTCTTCCCTTTACCTTTTGTCTCGTTTCCTTTTCTTTCCTCTTTTCCCCATGGAGTCTGGGGCTGATTTTGAACTCAGAATCCACAAGCCTCAGATTGTGAGCACTAAGACTACAGGTTTGTGTGCCTCAGCATCCTGCTCCAGCTTTCTTTACTGAGGAAAGACACACAGCTGAAGAGTTGTGTGAATACTTTTAAAGCAACGACTTCCAATGCCCTGAGTCCGTCCTCACACGGATGTGTTCACGCACACTAAAGCAAGGACTCTCAATGCCTTTGCCTATGAAGTGCTGGGATTCTAGATGAGTGCCACAGCACTTAGCACATTTCTTTTACCTGCACTATGCCTCCACGGTACCAGAAAATACTATGCAAGCTGCCAAGAGAGGGGTGTAATTAAACAACCCTACCCAGATGCAACACCTGTGAACCATGACAACGAACAACAGGCAAGATGTCCTAAAGATGAAACAGACACTCACATGTTCATGGTAACCACAGCTGTCTAAGTGGACTAAAAGCCCATTCAACCGGAAGGAAATCACACCTGAATCATAGCTCCCTAGTTAGTGAGGTCGTGGACATTAGAAAAGACACTGCCACATTACTAAAGCAGCATAATTCCTCATGACATTATAAATCTTATTCTTATACACACAGAGAAGTATATAAGGGTACACTACCACTCTTGAGCAATGAAACCTCTCTTGACAGCAAATGGAGACCACCACAGAAAACTACAAGTGGACACAATGAAGGGATCAATGGGTCATGGGAATCTCAGCCCCAACAGAAACAGGTACACCACACAGCTCCTGAATCTATGGCTCAGAGAAGCTCTGGGGAGGGGAGGGGCAGACAGACTTTAAGAGGCAGAGCACCAGGAAGTCTGCTGCAAGACAGTCTCTCCTAGAAATGGCTGCATAAACAAGACAGAACAATGGCAATATCAAGGGACTTGCTGATGCAAAAGGGGTAAAATTTCATGGAGTCCCACCCCTAGACAAAGAACTACAAGCAACTAATGACTATTAGGAGAAGAATTAGCTTCTCTCAGGGATGAGGCCACTATTGGCTGTTCAACGCAGAGCAGTCAGCCCTGAAACCATATATATACAAACAACAAAAACAGATTTAGCAGGTTGTACTTATTTTTGCATATAAATATATATATATATGTATGTATGCAATAATTTTTAAAAAAGGAGGCTATCAACTTGAGAATAGGCGTACATGAGAGGAGCTAGAGAGAGGAAAGGCTGGAAGAAAAGTGATGAAATTCTATTTTAATTTAAAACATTTTAAAGAAACACACACACATACACACACATACATACACACACACACACACACACACATACACACACACACACACACACACACACACACACACACACACACGATTTTTACTTAGGCATTGTAATCACAGCATTTGCAAAGTTAAGTAGTGAGATCCATGTGGGCCTGGGCTACAGATCAGATACCATCTCAAAAAACAAAAACAGGAACAAAATTTTAAAAGCCCACAAATTTTATCACAACCCAATCCAAAATGACTTGAATGTTTCCCACGAAATAGTTATACAAGTCTGTGGCCCAGACAGGAAAGTCATTTCCAGTACACCATCTCACACACCATGTCCTCAATCAAGCTTTTCTGTTGATGTGAATTCTAAAATGGCAATTGGGAGAAGGCAAAGACAAAACCATTCTGGCCTAAAACGTGGTAAACAGACCCCCACACCTCCACTCTGACCCTGTCCTCCATACTCCTAATCTTTGGCTCTGAGTCAGTCCATGACATGACTACTTTAGGTGCGCCTTTGGTGGTAGTGGTTGGTGTGCTGCCAAGGCAGGCGTAGCTGAAGAGCAAGTGCAATTTAATGGAGTACAAAACAAAGAGCTGGGGGCTGAGGACACAGCTCAGTGAGAAGGTGCTTGCCTAGCATGTACAGGGCCCTGGGTTCAATCTCAAGTACTGCAAGAAAACAGAGGCCTGGGTAGAGCTCACCTCATTACTACACCAGCCCTGCTCTCTGCACCCTTGTCTAAAAGATGCACAGGACATATACAGCTACTTGCAGCAAAAGAAAAACAACGCTACAGAATAAACTTAATGTCTGCAGTCTCAGAGCCAGGAACACACACTGGTCTCAGAGGCAGGCTGCAGAAAGGAGGTGTGCCTTTTATGGTGTTCCCCGTGTCTCCCCTTTGCCCTCCCACAAGTGCTGACATCAAATGAACACACACAGTAAGATTCTCTATGAGCTTATAGCTTCCAAAGCAGACAGAAGGAAAGTTGTAGCTATCTGAGCACAGGACAGGACATACGGAACCATGCACTGCATTCACAGAAAAGAGCAGGAGCCCCCATACTAAGTTCAGGAAAAGCCAGCAACATGTGTTACAAACTTAAATAAAACTTAAGTGAACGAGATTAAAAGTAAAAAAGCTTCTAACACAAGGAGCAGGCTCTCATACCCGTTCAGAAACATACCCGCCTTCTACAGAACCTATGAGGCGATCCTCCCTTAGCAATGTTTATAGGAGAGAGAGAGAGAAAGAATCCAAAAACTAGACTCAGTTTCCCACTTAACAAATGAACTAAACAGTAAGCATAATTTAAATAAAAACATTATACTAAACAACCACTATATTAATTTTAATCTATAGAGATATAGAATGTGTGTCTTATCTCTAATGAACAAGCCAGCGACAAACATATTAGCAGATAAATAGGTTAACACACTAGAGCTATTTTAATGTAATGTTAAGATGCTTCTCTACAAAAATATTAGCCATTTTCTTTTCTATATTGTAACTGTAATGGAAAAATAGAAATGACCTCAGCATTCAATGGTTTTTTTTGTTTTTTTTTTTTTTTTGTTTTTGTTGTTTTTTTTTTTTTTTTTTCCAGGAGAAATAGTTTAAAGATTGAAACACAAAACAAAAAACTTACAGAATTTTTCCAACTAAAAGTATTGGTAAATAAATTACTCTGATTAAATACATTTGATCATTAGGCCTGCATCGTCACAGATATGCTAAAATTAACTCTGGAAGCTTATGGTCACCCAGGAGCACAGAAACACAAGCCACGATAGTGCAAGGGTAGAGAAAGGTTGAGTGACACTCACCCGCTGCTCCAGTGCTGACTGCGTCTGCTGTCGCAGAAGGGCTTTAAAGGGCCCCCCTTCTTTTCCAGCACTGCCACTTCCCATTCCTACAGGACATCAGGACATAAATAACAACCAAGCAACAACTGTACGACAGTAAATTCAATCGCAATCAACTTTAGAAGCACTATGTCAAAATACACGAAAATGACCTACACATTTCACATATTTTGAGATGACAACTCATGCATATATTTTACTCTACTAAGACTTTCTTTAAAGCAAGATATCAAACGTCTGGTCATAGCTAGTCTTAGAATCAACTTATGCTAGTAAGAATGTTAAAGGTAATAAATCTTTGATAATATTCAATATTTAAAATAAGATTTTTAATAAAAATAATCAAAAGAATAACTATTACTATGATAACAATTTAAGCACACCAAAATATCTGATCAACTATAGAAGAGAAACATACTAACTGCTCATTTAAAATACCACAAGAGAGCTAAAGAAAATGGAATCAGCATTCAGAACGAAGTTTACTCTCTGCTGAGGCCCACACTACAACAGTGTGCTCATTCACAAAGATAACACAATTTTTTGAGGAAAAAGAAATCATATACAGGAAAATACATCTCAAATGTGCATCATCAGGGATGGAAGAGTTCATTCCCTTACTCCCAGACGTATTTTTGAGGCTGACTTTACATCTCCTTCCCTGGCATTTGTTGGTGCTGTTGTGTTTGTAGTGCCACAAGGACAATGTGACCCAAGGCTGGCACGGGAATGGAACGGGTGGGCAGCTAGTGCTGCCTGACTCGGGTGAGCCCCGCCCTCCTAAAACTAAGCCGCACACCGTCAAGCTCACTGCAGTGCCTAAAAAAGGAACGCATTCCTGTCTACATTTTTAGCTGTTCTTGGATAAGGAAACAAAGGTTAGCATGTGTGTAGTCCCATTCTGCTCTTTTAAAAATAAATTGTTTTCGTATAGTAGTCTAAACATTTTTAGAGACTATACAATGCTAACTCGAAATAAAACTAAGATCTTTATATGAAGCGCATTAAAAGTCACAAAATAAAAGGTAAGTTTGCAGTGATAAATAAATTACCAGAAAACATAGCAGAATAACTTGATTAATGTAGTGGATAGAAAAAAAATGTATAATAAAAGAATATCACCACAATGAGACTTAAACTGGTTCAAACAGAATAATTTTTTCCTGTTGCCTTATGGGTTAGCAGCCAAAGGCCACCACAGGTGTGATGTGGGTGGGGCAGGCATGGAGCGAAGGCAGCCAGCGAAGCGTCAACCACAGTGCCTGAGTGAGAACCCAGGCACTGACAAGTCACAGTAAACTACAGGAAACATCCACACCCACGTTCTGACACGTAATGCCTTTTTTTTTTTTTTTTGGAGACAGGGTTTCTCTGTAGCTTTGGAGGGTGTCCTGGAACTTGCTCTGAAGACCAGGCTGGCCTCGAACTCACAGAGATCCACCTGCCTCTGCCTCCCGAGTGCTGGGATAAAAGGCGTGAGCCACCAATGCCCAGCAAGACATAATGTCTTAAGTATAGAGTTTAGTGTATACTCATGACTATCCATCAAATACCAACCTCCAATGACATCTTTGTAATTCTGACCAACTGATAGTAAAATAACTTATAGACATATAAAGCACACAATCATTCTTTATGGTATAAGATAATGTTTTCAAAGATGATTTAAAATAAAGGGATTAAAAAAGCTGACATAATGTGATCCTACCAGAAGCAGCCAGGAACAGCTCTTCACTGAAAGAAACACTTTTCCTCAGAACGGGGCTGACAAGGCTAGAGTGATGAGGGGTAAGGCTAGATTCCGAGAGGAGGCGGGACTTAAGGTGAAGGGAACCACAAGAGAGGGGGGTGGAGCTGGGGCACAGGTAGATCCCAGGCCCCTGTGGGTAAGGTGCTGTGGAGGAAAGTAGCAGAGATGCAGATTCAGAGAATCGGAAAATGCAGGAGAAGGAAAGCAATGATGAAGCAAAACACAACAGTCAAATGGGTTTCAAATGCAGACAAATTAACACTAGCCTAAGGACGCCCACCCACCAGAGCCCTCTTGCCAACACAATGCAAACCAAAGATACCTGCTAAATTAACAGAGCCCTTTCAAACTCTAAAGTCATTAAAACATTTTTAAATAACTAGCAAGATTTTTATGCCATTTACCTCACATTTAACTGACTTCTTCAAACACTTAAATTGCCCATCAAATTTTGTTGGCTGATTGTATGTCTAAGAACTTTGTATGGTTGAAAATACCACTTGTTAGTTTTATGATGAGAAACTTATTGCTTTGACCATAAATATGTAAAGTGGTAAAGTTTGGTACCCTCAAATGTTACTAGCTGAGATACTGAAAATTGTTGTTAATGGAATACCCATTAAAAAGTAAAGGGTAAGACATTATTAATGCAAAATGGTTTTTTCTCTATATTTTTGAGATATCAACTAATCCTTTTACTTTTCCTCTAAAAATTTTCAAAACTTAACCTGATCATAGGCAAATTTACAGAGATTTACATACAGACATTAAAAACCCTGTGGACAGTAAGAAACATAGACAGCAACAGACTATCTAAGACCCTAAAATTAACCCCAGATCAAGTGTGTAAGTCCTTGTCATACACCAGTATTCAAAATTTTCACTGCTACTGAGACCTGGGGACATTTTTAAAGTCTCATTCTTCAAAATGTCATCAATTAGATTCTAATAAGGAAAAACTTACAAAATCTAACAGAAAAACAGCATTCATTATAAACAGAAAAATAACTTTCTCGGGCTACCTTTATTACCTCTGCTCTATTTTTGACTTCATGGTTTATAAATAATAAATGAATCCACTATTTATTCCACTATTCCTCAGAAGACTGATTCTAGAATGTAGGAAATTGGAAAGCAGAGAAAGAATGCTATTCTGTCATTTCCTAACTGGTAAGTGGAGTGCCCGTCTGGACCCCTGAAAGGTGGTGAGGGGCTCTCAACAAGGCCAGGAGCCTGCAGGTGCTGATGCACTATAAGCCACTGAGGCCAACGGACACAGGGAAGCACTCAGAGTCAATTACACATAGTACACTGGAACAGCGCTGTTTGTAAATGAGCTTTTAAAAACCAGCACACCAAAGGTCAAGGCTAGTACAGATGATGCCAGTCAGAAAGCTTGAGAGATCTGGTTCTATCACTTGTCTGCAATCTTTCTGTTTGGCCTTTTGCATAAATTAAGAAAAAAAGGCCAAGAAAACACTTTCAAAACTTTATCTATGGTATGAGAAAAAAATAATCCGTAAGTGTACTGAAAAGTAGCCTAGAACACACAGTGAGTAGCCAAAGCCTTACATCTATTGTTAGGAGATCTTACTGTCCATAAGGACACACACCCAGAGTCACAGCTACACTGAACAGCCAGTGAGTGACTGTTTCAGCTCACAAGGCAGAGACCAGCCTCAGCAACCTAACAAACGCATCTAGGGGCTAGGGATGAAGCAGAGGGGAGGGATGCTGGCCCAGAATGCATGGTGTGCTGGGTTTTATCTCCAGTGCCAATAAAGGGCAATAAGAGGAGACAATACTATCCCATCTCTATCTTGTTCTGACATAATGAACATTAAGGCCAGTCTCTTATTCCTTTTTTTTTTTTTTTTTTTTTTTTTTTTTGGCTTTCATTATAATTTGAATGGTTCAATTTTTATGGCACAATGACAGCTAAAATGCCACATTCCAAACCATTCATCACTATGAAATACCTCTGTATTTTCAACTGTTATTCATAATTATATACAGTAAGCCTTCAGCATCTGTAGGGATTGGTGCTAGGACCACCATTATTACAGTTCCTTACACAATGTGGGGTATTATGGGCAAATACCTATGCATGTCTTCCTGTCTACACTGAATCATCTTCACATTGCTTGTGATACCCAATGCAAGAATGGTGCATCATCTGGACAATAATGAAAAGTCTGCCTGCACTGGGGGCAGGTGAAATCTTCTCAAGGATTTCAGACCTGCAGTTGGTTTAATATGGTAAGACTAAGTGTATACTTAGAAATAAAGTAGCTGTCAAAAAAAAAAAAGTGTTGGGGAGGCGTGGTGGGAATGGTAATAAAAACAAAGAAATAGGTGGTTATATTCTGTGACCATAAAAAAAGAAGACAGAAATGAAGTCTGTAATAAATATTGCTTTGGAAGTAAGATTTTGTTTTGATTGTTTTCACAAGATCTGGATCCATTTTTATATTCTTCTACACTAAAATAAAACATTAAAGGTTATTAAAGATAATAAATAAAAAATAATATAAATAAAAACTATTTTAATCAATCTGATAGGAAAACTGCCAGAAATAGTACTTAAAATACTAGAAATAGTAAGTCTGCAAATTTTCAACCTTTCTTTAAAAATTATTCAGATAATTTAATTCTATATTAGAAGGAAGCTAATTTAATCTTTTATCAACTTTTTAATCAAAAAAAACATAAACAAAATCCACAAACCATTCATAATACAAACAGGAGAGGGAAAATTATAAATTTACTAAATTAAAAAATAATGCAGGCTGAGGAAATTTAAAATGCAGTTCCAACCTGGAGAGCAATCCTAGAAAAGCTAAGCACCCTGATTCATGGACTCGGTAACAACAATGATTAAATAGCTAAATGTCACTCACCAAACAAAATAATTCCTCTAAAAATTAATTCTAATAATTGAAAAGACCAGTATTTACACTGTCTTTTTTGGTTGGTTGTTTGGTTGGTTGGTTGGTTTGGTTTTTCCAGACAGGGCTTCTCTGTGTAGCCCTGGCTGTCCCGGAACTCACTCTCCCACCTCTGCCTCCCAAGTGCTGGGATTAAAGGCGTGACCACCACTGACCGGCTACATTATCTTTTATGTTAACACATAAACATGTTACATAGATGTGACCAATGTCATCTATTCCTCTTTTCTTTTTGCTTTCTCTTTTTTCTGCTTTTTTTCAGGTAAACTCAGGACAATACTTTACACTGACCTAACCTGAAGCCAATAAGCAGATGGACAGACATCTTATCTGTACTGCTATATAACCATTCCAGTTCTGAAATGTTTCCATAATAAAAACACAAAACTAAATTCTGAAATAAGAATAAATAAGGAATTAATTAATCATATGCTCAAGAATTGTTTCCAAAAGGCAATTTGATTGCAAACCACTAGGGTGACTACTCAAATGCCTTACGATGGCACTCCTCTGGCCTTGCCTATAAAATGAAGACTGTCAACATCCAAAAATCAATTCGGGACTTGATATCAACAATGATTAAATTAGCTAAAATGTCACTCTCCAAACAATGTCTCTATAAAAACTTAGTTTTAATAACAGAAATGATCAGCATTCATTCACATTCGCGTTTAACTTAAATGCAGAAATAGGAGGAAAGGTTTGTATGGGAAGCTAGTAAACAGAAACCAGTTTAAAGGAAACACGAAGGTGGGTGGAAGTGCCTTACCCGTCTTGGGTGTCAAGCTCAAATCTGTGTCAGAAGAAGAGGACTGTCGGCTGTAGGACTTGGAAGGTGAAAAGGAATAAGTTTGGTTTTTCAGAGGGGTTGAGGGTCCTGATGAGTGAGGATTGGGGTTGGGATCTTCATTGAAGGGACTCCTGCCAGAAGAAGGTGGAGACATATTAAGCAGTCATGTGCCAAAGGGCTTGACAGCTGGCAGCATGATCCAAACGTGAGGAAGGAGCTGGGGTGGGGCCCGCAGCCGTTTCTTAAGTGTGGAGCTGGGAATGAGGCCAGAGGTAATGGACTGCCGTTTCCCCATTCACCATCTCCAGATAAATATTATCTGCATTGAAACAGTTAATAAGCCAAGTGGAAAAGCAAAGAAGCATGAAATGAGAGACTAATGGTGACTAAAATATATATTAAATTAAATGGAAAAAATAAAAAGAGTAAATAAATGACAAAATATTCAAATAAATGTTTTATAAGTTACAAAGAAAATTATGGTCACAAATGGTGTGTGGAAATATCCTTAACTGTCTTCATATTTACACACACAGGCGTCTCCAAAAGAAAAAGCTGTTTCCTTATCCTACGGCATCAGAGTGCCACAGCTAAAAACACAGCAAAGAGGGCAGTAGCTAGAGCCACACAGAGACACTGCGTTTGATGCAAACAGTTGCTTACCTGTTTTCCAATAGCTCTCTTCCACAGAGTGAAACAGACCCTATCGTTTCAAAACCCTACAGACTTTGTACATAAAGAAAATAAGCAAATCAAAGTGTCAAATGTCTGCTTCATTAGAAGCATTATCAATTTCAGTTCTAAACAAACACAGAAATATTCACAGGAATACAATTGGAGGAGTCTCAGAATGCAATCCACAAAATCACAGGGCTCTGAAGAGATCTGTGGAAGAGACTTTGGAAGCTGGAGAAACACCTTTGCTTCCATAGTCAGAGCCTTTGTGTCAACTAAACAGAAGTCCTTTATTGAAGCTAGATTTGGAGTAAGAAAGGGAAGAAGCCAAGCTCTGTGGTACCTGCCTATGCTACCTGCCTGCCTGCCTCTGCAGCCACTCTGCCCGTGGCATGCCTCTCCCCAGCTCTGGAGTCTGAGCAGTCTCGTACCAGTGTAGATGAGAGTGGGAACAGACACAGAGAAGCTCTGAGTAAGTCGTGAGCCAGTAGCAGTGTGAATTGGGCTGTTGTGAGTCGAGCGGCATCCATGGCTTGGAGGATGAACCAGCGGAGACCTGAAGGAATTTGTGGTCAAAGCGGAAGAAAAGAAAACAATACATACAACAGATTGCAAAAGTTATGTTAAGATTATTTTGAAGGAGCTTTTGTTAAGGGAGAAAACTAATCTGTTTAATCCCTAGCATGCAAAAAGTTGAAATTAAAAAAGAACAGCCAATAATTAATGTGTTAGTATAAAAGTATACCTTTAAAGGATCAGATTAATAAATCAAGAACTGTAAATAAGAAAAACAGCAAGTATAATTGTCAATGGAACTAAGAAAGACTACTAAGACTTCAATATTAAGGTTTTTTTAAACGTATTTGTTTTTGTTTTTATCAAAAAAAAAAAAAAAAGGACTTGCTATTATGTTTATGGGAGGAAAACACCCATAAAATTGAAAGTGTCATGTTCTTTTAAACTAAGATATGATACCTTTCTATGAAGAAAGTTACTTAAGAACACATAAGAACTGTCAGTCGGAAGAGAAAATGAGGGAAGGGACTACATTTGAATAGGCACAGGTCAGCTTTTAACATACAACATGCACTGAATAAAAACAGGGTAATCTAGGACAGCAAGGGAACAGGGCTTTCAAACTCAGACTATGACTAACATAAAGTCTAAAATGTGCTTAGTATGACTGTCACATTAACCCTCTTAGAGGTGGTCTGTTTTTATATACACATCTGAGTTCTTTTCTCCCCTAAAGTGAAAAAGGGCCTTAGAATTCTTCAACTTGGAAAGTCTATCTACAACACATTTCTGTGCACACAAGAAATCACATGTAAGGCCCTTAGATAGCTTTCTAGTATACTGTTAAACCAAAGTTCAAACATACCGGAGCACTACCAAGATGTATTCTCAGAGTTCTACCAGCCTCATTGTGTGAAAGTTTGCCCCAAAATTACACATTTCCACTGTGAAGTCCATTCCATCCATTCTAATCTTTCACTCATTTAGGTAACCTATTAAATCCAATCTGTTTCCTTTTTACCAAATTCCAATCTAAAACTATCAGTGTTATATAATAACCAAAGACTAGTAATACTAATCTAAATCATAACATCTTTTAAAATATCACCCAAACTGATGCCTTAATTCAAATACAGTATAGCCAGTTGAAACACAGCAGCCTACATCCCAAGGGGCTTTCTAAACATGGCCTACATTGTAAGATCCCTTCCAAAGACCCTAATAATGCATAGTATAACAAGTCACTCTAGTGTCACAATTTAAAGTAAATGGCTGTGAGAGAAAAGAAAGAGAAACAACTCTTCTCCGGTTTACTGAGGTCTCTTCATGAACGCACATAAAACATGGCCCTGTGGTTTCCCTTTCCAAGACTCCACCAAGTAAAACACTTTTTTCACTCAAAACCCCAGTGCACATATGACTTCAGAGATGTACCTGCAGAAGCCAGGGCTTATGAGGTGTAGATAAAACTACATGGTGGCAATGGACAGACTCAGGGTATGTAGGTAGGTAGGTAGGTAGGCAGGCAGGCAGGTATGTATGTATGTATGTATGTATGTATGTATGTATGTATGTATGTATTTTGAGGCAGAATCTTACCAAGTAGCCCAGACTGGCCTCCAACTTGAGAGCCTCCTGCCTCAACCTTCTAAACATTGAGATTACTGGCCTGTATCACGGTAAGTGGCTTCAAGAAGCAAGCCTTTAATTAAATTTGGTGTGGAGGGGGACAGGGTCTGAATCTATGTGCATCTAACTCTACCTGTATCAGCTAAGTTCACACTCTCATTTTTATTATAGTATCGTAAACACATCCAGGGTCTCATGCTTGTTAAGCAAACACTCTACATACTACTGAGCAACATTCCCAGCCTTAGGACACATTTTTAATGGAATATAAAGCAAACTGAGGTTACAACTTTTTAAATAATTTCATTTGTAAATACGTTCCCAAATAAAATTTGTTACTACTGTGCTAAATCTTGTGATCAGAATTTAATCCAAATCACTAAAGATCATCAAAGGAGGGGACTAAAAAAGTATATGCTCAAGATAAAGAAAAATTCATTTCTCAAAAAGATCATAGGAAAGAAACTTCTTTGAGGAGTGGGATTGTTTCCATTTACCTTCAGTGGACTAATGCTGAACGAGGAAATGGGTTAGATTCTCCATCTATAGAGTTTGACCCCTCATGATCTAAACTGGGAAGAAGTCAGCAGAGTACAGCCTGCCATCTGTTTTGTAAAGGAAGCATTACAGGAACACAGAAGCACTGCTAGTTCATATGCTGCTGGAGCTACATCAGTAGAGTAATACATAGTAGCATCAGCAAAAGGTAAATTATCCACTGTCCTACCTAGGCACATAGTTTCCCAACCCTTAAGGTAGATTTATCTCTACATCACTGGTCCTTGCGGAATTACTAATGGCTCCAGCATGGAACAAGTGTTACTTCACTTCTATGGAGTTGTTCCAATTACATGTTCACAGCATCTTTGGTCCCCAACAATACTTCCAACATAATCATTACAACAGAAAAAGAAATCGCCATTCAAACATTCTCCATTGACAATTCAGAATAGCATATATGTGAAGTACTTGAAAACATGGGCATCTCAGATTATAGAATATTTAAGAGACTTCACCAGGAGCACTTCTAACCTAAAAACCTTCCAATTGAAATGCTCCAAATCCCAAAGCTGTTGAGGAATGATATCTAAAGTATTTCCTATTTCATACTTTCAGATTAAGGATACCCAAGCTACCCAGCCCCCAGCCATGCTCAAAAATCTTCCTTTGATACAAGTGAAAAAACACAGGCCAAGTAGAGATGAGCTTTGCAAGGTGTGCTGACTAGTTTTATGTTGACACAAACTATGGTCATTTGAGAGAAGGGGCCTCAACTGAGAAAATGCCTCCATAAGACCGGGCTGTAGGCAAGCCAATAGATCATTTTCTTAGTGATTTATGAGGGACAGCCCAGCCCACTGTGGCCCTAGGTTCTACAAGAAAACAGGCCTAAGAAGCCATGAGGAACAAGCCAGCAAGCAGCTCTCCTCCATGTCCCTGCCCTGTTAGAGCTTTTGTCCTGACTTCCTTCAGTAATGACCAGTGATGTGGGAGTGTCAACAAAATAATCCTTTCTTCACCAAGTGGCTTTGGTCATAGTGTTTCATCACAGCCAAGGTAAGCCTGACCAGGGCACTAGGCACAGCGCTTCCAAGCAATGTGTAAGTCTAAATTCCTTTAGATCACAGACTGGGATTTCTTATGGTTCTGGTGGTTATTGTTGTGGTTTTTCTTTTTTCTGGTACTGAGCAGGAGAGTGCATTATGTTTTTGTTGTATTTTATAAAGACAGTCTACACTGTCAGTGTCTAAAATTTACTACCTGGCCTTTCAAACAAGTTTGCTTAAGGGGGAACAGCACTGGGCACCTCCATCCATCCCAGCTCTTACAAAGCTAAAGATAGCTTGAACCCAAGAATTTTGGGTCAGCCTGGGCAACAAAGTGAGAACTGATCTCAAAAGCAGGAAGAGAGAGAGCGAGAGAGAGGGAGAGGGAGGGAAGAAGGAAGGAGAGGAGGATGGTGCACCTTGCCTGGACCACTATACAATGAGGCCTGCCGGCTATAGACACCAGAGCCTGAGAACCTCATACAAGACCGTCTGTAGTCGTCTTTACACACTGCAAACAGTGTAGCCTCATTTAAGCATCTCCTAGAAAGGAAAGCAAATTCCACACAGGACATGAATACTCGTTTTATGCTTTAGATAGACATATAAGGATCTTGAGTAGTTTAAGAAAAATCACACAAGTAAAAACTGTATGTTGAACACTGCTACCAAAATATGAGAACAAATGAAACTTCCAGGTAAAGGATGAAAACCTCCATGAGGACGGTTTCACTGATTCATACTTACTCCTTCATTTCTTTGGATGGGGAATTACATGCAGGAAGAAATGTGGCTGGGCTACTTAATTTGTCCAGAGTACACGCTGTTCCTATGGCTCGTACCACTAACCCAGACTCGCCTTCCAGGTCAAAACACTGCAGGTACCCAACAACTGCATTCCCTCTCATCTCAAGTACTTTCAAGCCAATCTTCCTCTGCAGCTCACCTACGGAAACAAAGAAGCTCACGTTTAGCTTCATATCTCTGTATTATATACTGGTTTGGGGTTTGGGGGTTTTTTGAGGCAGGGTTTCTCTCTGTAGCTTTTAGAGCCTATCCTGGAACTTACTCTGCAGACCAGGTAGACCTAGAATTCATAGAGATCCCGCTTACCTCTTCTTCCCGGGTACTGGGGTTAAAGGTGTATGCCACCACTGCCCAGCATAGTATATCCTTCTTCTTAAAAGAAAGATATAAGAACAGCAATATGAAAACAAAGCAAACAAAAGCTTAAAAATCATGGATTCTCAGAATTTGAGGGGAATGAAAGGGTTATCTGGCCCAGGCTCACTTTTAGGAGGTAAGATGCTACTGGTCAGAAGACAAGGCATGTTAAGTAAATGCTCACTCGCTCATTCATGTGCCTGACTGAAAACACAGTCTTAGGTTCTGAACTGTGCTGGCATTCTTTTCCTCTCCAAGGTATTACACACTTGGATGAGCAAGAAAGATGTACTCCAAATCTAGGGGACGGAGAGGAAATTCAATGACTCAAGTCAAGCTGTGCAAACACCAGGACCTGAGTTCAGATATGGTAGGAGAGAAATGCTCCTAAGAGCTGTCTTCTGACATTCATAGTATGGCACATGCGCACGCGCGTGTGCGTGCACGTGCACGCGCACACACACACACACACACACACACACATGAAAATATTTTTTTTAAAATCTCAAATATAACAGCACCCTGCTGTCATCCAAACAGTGTGAAGTGCTGGCTGGAGAGTGCCTGGGACTTGCTGGCCAGTCACTCTAGACAACTGGTGAGCTCCAGGTTCAGTGAGAGACCCTGCCTCAAAAAACATAAGGTGAGAGCAGGGTGTTGGCGGCTCACGCCCTTTAGTCCCAGCATTCAGGAGACAGAGGCAGGCGGATCTCTGTGAGTTCCAGGCCAACCTGGTCTACAGAGCGAGTCCAGGATAGGCTCTAAAGCAATACAGAGATACCCCGTCTCAAAAAACAAAAAACAAACAAACAACCAAAGCATAACATGGAGAGCAATCAAAGAAAAAACCCAGATGTCAACCTCTGACCCACACATGCACATACATATATAGGCAGCCACACACACACATGCACATATACACTCACACAAACACAGAAACAAGCTCCAGATCTACTCCAGACAAGAGGAGGGCAAGAGGGCTTGCACACTGGGTTTTCTAGAAAGGACTGTGCAGGAAACATTGAACAGACAAAGACAGCAGAACTGAAGGGTGTGTGTCTCCAGATGATGCTCTCTCGTCAAAGCTCCTTCCAGAGCCTGCCATCTGCCCCTTTACATTCACCACTGACACAGTGTCCTCTGCTACCTAGTTAAGAGGGATTCTAGGGTCCAGAGAAACAGCTGGATCAGTAAAGAATTTATACTGCAATAATGAGGACCTGAGTTCAATCCCCAGAAGCCACATTAAAAAGAAGAGGAAGACAAGGAGGTGGCTTATATTTGTAATCAGAACACTGAGGAAGTTGATTCCTGGAGATCAACTAGTCTGCCAAACTAGCCTGTGAGCTCCAGACCAATGCAAGACCCAGACTCAAGAAACTTTTTCCTTTTAAATAGACAGTGCCTGAGGAAAACCTGAAGTTGTTCTCTGGCTTCCAGAGCCATGCACACACCGCATGCCCACATGTTTACATGCATACACACACACATAGGGAACTCACACACCCGATTCAGATCTCCACTTGTTAAAAGGGCTCAGTGGGATGGCATCTGGGATAAGGAATCAACACTTAACAATTCACAGCCTTTGTTGTGAAATTTCATGCACCATGTGAAAGGAAAGTGAAAATGTTAAGACTAAGTCAATCAACAGTAATACTGCTTTTCCAGCATACCTGACATCAAAGAAATAAGTCTCTGTCTGGCCTCATTTGATGCCCTTGGTGTGCGAATGCGATCGATCCATTGATATTCCGGGTCTTCATTGACCACAAGTTCTTCTACAAATCCGTGGATTACCACAGCTCTGTAGCACTTTGGAATAGATGTTGCTGTTAACACAAATTCCTTATTATCCTTCTATTAACCACAAAGACAAAGTTAACTTTAAAATGTATACACCTCTAAACAAAAGGAGAAATAAAAAATAAAAAGTATCTATGCAGACTTTGTGTTTTAGATACACAACGCAAGATTACCCACTACATAACTTCAGTGCACTCGTAAGAGCTCTCAAACACCTTTTAAAATCTGCTTCGCCCTGAAAAGGGTCTGTCATGAGGCCTCTCACTTTTCTCACATTAACAGTAGCAAATACACTGGGGCTGAAGAGATGGCTCAGCAGTTAAAAGTACTGGCTGATCAGGTTCAGTTCCCGGCACCCACATGGCAGCTCACAACTGTCTGTAACTCCAGTTCCTGGGAATCTGACACCCTCACACCAATGTACATGAAATAAAATTAAATAAATTATTTTTTAAAAACTGAATAGCAAATATAAACTGTACTTTTATGTCCAGAGAATAGCTATAGACATTAAATTGCTGCTCAATACAAAGGCTAACAAAATCAAAATATCACAGAGTACCATATAAATCTGTGCTGTTAAAAATGAATTAAGTCTAGAAAAAAGGCCAGCTGATGCTGACTAACAGGCAGAGCGTTCTTTCCATCTCACATACAGCCACTCAACAGCAGTCCTGCGGCCCTGCTGCTCCTGCCAGAATCCACAGCCACACAACCATCTGCGGAGCAGTCACGATCCTAATTAACAGACCCTCTGCACACGCTTACATCAGTGTATCATTGGATTTAAGTAAAATCTAGGCAGATTCAAAAGGGTAAACATCCACACCTAACCATTCTCTCAGGAAATGAACTCCTGCACTGAGGATGACCACTCGGGGGTGCTCTGACCACTAACAGGGGCTGGCACGGGCTTCCAGAGTAGCCGTCCAGGCCACAGGCTGCTCCGTCCAGGCCACAGGCTGCTCCGTAGAACCCACCATCCACAGTCCTCCCCTCAGTCAGCACTCTCTACCATAGCAAAATACTCTCTACCACAGCAAAATGCCTCTACATCTTTTAACAAAAATTAACAAGAACTTGTAAAACTTAGACACCATTTACTCTAAAAACCAAATAAATAGTCACAGAGCTATAGTGATTGTTTCCAGAAATTGAACATTTTTCTCTCTGGTATCAAAACCAAATTAATACTTTTTCCATTAATCCATCCAAGTATTAGTTTTCCATATTGAAAACTTATTCAAGTTTTCCTGTTAAACAAGACAATGCATTTACTTACTGCAGAAGAATTTGACTCCACACGATGACTGTCTAAATCTGTTTAAATCATTGAAGAGGTCTACTTTGACAACAACATTGATTTCTCCGCGGATGCCTACAGATTTAAAAAGAAAATCAAGTTTCTGTGTTGAGAAAACAACATACAATAAAACCCTGATGCACACAGATGCAATTACTGACCTTCAAGTAATGTACTGTCATACTACTAGGGTCAGCCTCACCTCCTAGATGCTCTCACCCCCGCGAGTCACTTGGTACATGAAGCTAAGTGTGACAACCTGAGAGAAGCCCAGTTTAAACGATGATGGCAGTGGGGAAGACTTGCTAAGTCCGAGGAGGTGACCCACTAAACACTCAGTGTGCTCACATCAGCTCAGTGAGGTCAGTCCTACAGCACTAACATTCCCATTTTAAAGAAGAAATGAGTATTTAATTAAGTCTACCAATTTACATAGCTTTGGTAACTAACAAAGGCAAGAATGAACAGTCAGTTCTTTACGACAGCAAGGACAGACTCTGATTTAATGTGACACGTTTCCCGCCTGGGGCCTTCGGAACATGCTGCAATAAAAAGGGATGACCTGGCCCTGACTGCTAACCATTCATTACACACCTTTACTTGACTGCCTCGGCCTCTTGTAAACTCAGTGCTGGTGAAGGAGAACCTTCTAAGAAAAGCCCTTACTAATTTACTAAGAAGAGATATTCAAACATGGCCATATTGAGCCAATCGGAAACAGCCTTTAATGTTAAATGTCGGGAAACTATTTCATGCACATAGCTATGTACTGCCTTTAATCCAAGCCTGTACTTACCTCTTTAGCATCACTGACTGACCAGTGAGCCCCAGGGAGTTGTCTGTCTCTACCTCTCGAGCTCTGGGTTTACAGAGGTTTTCATGGGTTAGGGGTCAGAACTCAGCCTCTTGTTCTTACACAGCAGTCACTTTAATGACTGAGCCATCTCCCCACTCTCCCCTTTGAGACGGGTCTCTCTCTAACCCTCAGCCTGCCAGCCAGAGGGTCTCCCTGCTACCCCCAGTTCCCGGTGTGCCCTGTTTGCGTAGCTGCTGAGGTTCAGCAGGCAGCTGACGGCTCAGCCATCCCCCGCTGCTTTAGAGCACATCTTTTTAACTGCAATAGCATTTGACTATATTTAATTCCTCACTATGAAGATAAAATGTAATAAATACGCACACTGTAGAAAACAGGGTGAGGGGAAGAGAGGACATCATTTATAATCCAGAAATGGAACTATGCAAGCATAAGTATTATATCATGTCACGATAAATAAATAACCCCAGAGATAGATACTGGAGTTAAAACTTCAAGCTGAATATCAGAGAAGCAAGCCACTAGCTCTCTCCTCTAGCTCAGGCTGAAAGGGCTAATCCTGTCTCCACGAGCTCTCACCAAGGCTCGGACTGATACCTCTCCTCAATGTGGCTGGAGAACCCTGAGACCTCAATATCTTCCTTGAGGAAAGTGGCTGGAGAATGAATGCCAGCTCTGAGAGCCCATTCCTGTCTTAAATGCCTCTCATGAGTCCTGGGATTAATTAAAGGCATGTGATCCCAAGTGCTAAGATCGTCCTTGTGTAAGCTGTTTCTCTTTAGGACCTTGAACTAAGACATCCATCTACCTCTACTTCCCCAGTGATGAGATTAAAGGTGTGTACCACCACTGTGAAGCTTCTATAGCTAACTAGTGTGGCTTTAATAAATCATAAACAATGTATCACCACATACATTCTACCAAATAGTCTAATATTCTTACATATTAAAATTCTTTTATTTTAACAACTTTGAGACCATCATGTTTTGTAACATGAATTTTACAACTCATATAACACATTGTTATACCTATTTCAATGTTTTCTGAAAACATATTCATCTGACTATAAAACAGGACCTATCTATTATTTTATCGTTTTGAATGTTAGTAAATAATAGGGTCTAGGTAAAGTCATAATGAATTTATACACAAATATCTTGCTTTATTGCAAACATCTCACTTCCTCGTTGCTATCCCTGTCAGTGAAAAGATGCAGCAAAGGAGCAAGGCAGGGACCCCTGTCAGTCAGGAGGCTCAAGCCCTCAAATACAACTACAGTTAGAACACAAGTCTCTGATTTTTTGGTAGAACCCATTTACAATCTAAAAATCATTGAGAATTTCAAGGAGTTTTTGTAAAGGTAATTATCTATCAATATGTACTATAATAAAATTAAGATTACCCTTTTTTGTTTGTTTATTTTAGCCTTTTTTTTTTTTTTTGGAGACAGGGTTTCTCTGTGTAACTTTGTAGACCTCAAACTCACAGAGATCCACCTGCCTCTGCCTCCCAAGTGCTGGAATCAGAAGCATGCACCACCACCACTTGGCTCCTCAAGACAACTTTTAAATAACATATTTACTTCCTATGTCACATGGAATGAACAGGCATTTTAACTGTGTTCTGAGAAATGGAGATTTCTACATTTGGCTACTTGTCTATAGTTTCAAGGCATCTTTTAGAAATATCTTAAAAAACAGTGTAGTACAAAAGGCAAACAGAAAAGACTGAGACACATTTCTTTTTCTTCAATGCTGCTCCTCACCGTGTATGGTGTCATAAATTGGGAACCACCCTGAGATGACTGTGGCAGCCTCACTATACAGTAGAGGGTCGATGTCAATGTACACCTTGCCAATAGCATCATTTGCACTGTAAGTATCGTGGTCAAGAACGGTGATCTGCAGAGGTTCATCTTGTAAATCTTCATCATCCACCTAAAAGTACACACCCTGCAATTAAACCTTACACTTTGCAATCTTAAGTATCACAAAGCCACACGTTACTAACCCATAAAGGATCATTAGGGATTTATCTGCAAGGCAGAGGTGCAGAGATCAGCATACATGTGTGGTAACTAGGACAGAGCACCATAAATCAGTAGTAGAGCATCTGCCTAGCAGACACACCACAAGGCCTTTAAATGCAATTCCAGAACTACAAAAGAAAAAATTAAATAAAGAAGTAGACACACACACACACACACACACACACACACACACACACACACGAGAGACAGGGTCTTTCAACGTAATCCTGGCTGTCCTGGAACTCAATAGGCAGACCATGCTGGTCTCAACTCAGAGATCTGTCTGCCTCAGCCTCCCCCAGTGATGGGATTAAAGATGTGTGCCTCCAAGCCTGGCTTCCCAGAAATACTTTAAATGTTTCACCTGAGTAACTTTTTGCTCATAAAAGACTACATTTCCCAGGCTGTCTTGAAAATGGTAAGTTATAAGCACAACTAGTACCCAGAGCATGGTAAGGGAGGGAAACCTCTTAAAGGAATCAATCTACCTCATGGAAACCTTCAGGGAAAGGCAACTTCAAGGAAGAACGGTGCCTACAACTGAGTCCCTTGGTAGAAACCTCAGACACAGCCCCGCTGAAAGGAACTGGAGATCTGAAAAGTGCTTTGATATCATAAATGGAAATGTACAGTCTGGAGTTTGTCCTACTGATTTTAGGTGTTGCTTTTGTCTAGTACTTCTCCACTATGTTCCCTTAGCCTTCTTTTGGACTGGCAATACATATTACATGCCATTGAATGTTGGAAGTATGTGATCTGCATTTTTTACTTTGATTTTACCAGAAGTTACAGTTACAAAATGAACATGAATCTCAGCAAAGACTTCAAACTTTGGACTTTTAAACGCCATTGAGACTGCGATAGACTATGGGGACTTTTGAAGTTGCACAGAATGCATTTTTGCATTATGATATGATTACTAGCCTATGGGGGCCAGGGAGTAGAATTTAGAGTTTTAAATTAGAATGGCTCCCACAGTTTATATATGCGGGTGCTTAGTCACCAGGGAGTAGCACGAAGTTCAATCTCTCTGCCTGTGGATCAGGATGTAGCTCTCAGCCAGTCCCCCACGAGGTTAGTGGGCTAACCCTCTGAAAAATAAGCAAGCCCCCAAATAAATAATTTCTCTTACAAGTGTTGCCTTGGTCATGGTGTCTCCTCACAGCAGTAGAAGAGTGACTAAGACAGCAAACCCATACTACTTACACCTCTGTATTATCTAAAGGAGGCAAGTGTCTCAGAATGTGAATATTCAAACCAACTTTATGCCTAATTCATTAAAGAATTCCATCCAGTTTCACTGATGCCAGTTCATACTAACATACATATAACTCCCTTGTATGAACACATAGTTACAGCCACTGTCTGAAAGGATACACATTGAGGAAAATGGAAGCTTGAAATGGGCAGCATGTGTGCAGACATGTGTAAATTAAAAAGTACCAAGAATAGGACTTCCATTTTCTCTGTCTGGGCCTCAGTATTTCACAGCAGGCAGTTAGCCAGCATCCCAACTCTCGCAGAAGAAGCTCTCTGGCACTAAAGGAGAGAGAGATCACAATCCTGCCATTGGCCAGGAGCAAAGCAGTGTGATTTCCTTCCTTCTCTGGCAGGTTGAAAGGCTCACAGCAAAACCAAAGCAACCTTCAGATCGGCCAACACTCTGTTGCCCCTCATTCTCTTTCCTCAGAGGACAAGGGACATTTTGACTAGGCTTACGAACATGACTAAAAAGAAGGCCAGAAAAGACAACACAGGAGTCATTGCCTGCACTCCATAGGACCATGGTGGAGGCAGGTACAGAGACGGGAAAGCAAACTAGTGCATTTTAAGTGAAAGCTCCTCCAATGCTTCATCACCCTGTCCCCAAAACAGACGACAGTGGAGTTGGACCTGTCAGAAACTTCGACAATGCATTTAAAAATGAATGGATACACAAACGGACAAGGCAGACACTACCAGGAGATGGCTGGGCACAACATGAAACAGATGTTTTTGCAGAGAGCACCCAGAAAGAAGGCAGCTTATCACAGGCAGAAGGAAAGAGTGATTGGGATAGGGTAGAGAACACTCCAGACAGTCATCAGGCACCCATGATGCCTAGAGAGGGTCACTATTGGACAGGTGGGAAGCGCGGAAGGGGAAAACAGAGGAGATCAGGAGAGGGAAGCGCCTCCTCCAAACCTTAGAAAATATCTCCAGGTGTAGGTGCACTTGGACAAGAGAGCTCCCCAACCCCGTCCACCCTCTCCTCCCACCCCAGAACTGCCAGAGCCTCAGCTTCTGCCCCGCCTTCATTCACCCTTAACCCTTTGTCAGCCAACAAACTGCACAGACTCATAACTACTTCCAACAATCCACACCCACCACAGCCAATGAGAAGTAACCCTCGCCTGGTACACATCTCACATATAACCCTTCTGGAGACTTTTTTTTTTTTAATTTTTATTCCTTTTGCATACCAACCACAGATCCCCCTCCCTCCTGTCCCCCTCCTCCCTACCTCCCCCAACCCCCACTCACCCTCCCCTCAGAAAGTCTAAGGCCTCACATGGGGAGTCAACATTAAGTTGAGGCAGGACCAAGCCCCTCCTCTGGTGACTTTGTAAAAAGAAGGGGGAGAGAGAGAGTTTATAGTGCCCATGGAGGTGAGAAACAGCACTGGTTCCTCAGGAGCTCTCCAGACACTTGTGAGTGCTCACATGAATGCCAGGGTATCCAGCTCAGGTCCTCCAGAAAAGCAGTCAGTGCTCTTGACCACTAAGCCATCTCTCCAGATGAGGGTAGACTTGTGAAGGGTGCTAAGGCTTTTCAATGGAGAATGTCTTAACACATGGCAATTAAACATACAGAAAGAAGAATAGCTAGACACCTCATACTGTTAAAGAAGGCCACTGAAAATTAATCAATGACCTATAGATAAGATCTAGCCCATGAATTCTTAAAAGGAAACATAGGGAGTAGGTTTTAATACCAAAAGTGCAAACAGCAACATTAATCCCTATGTACTGGACTATATCAAAACAATCTGTACATCAAAAAGAAAAAAAAAATGTCAGGAAAGGAAAAAAAAGCCTATTGAATAGCAGAAGGTAGCTGCAAAATATATATAACATAAAGCCCTAAGCACAGGTAGCTGCAAAATATATATAACATAAAGCCCTAAGCACAATCCTCAGCACAGATATACATATAATATATATACATATACAGAAAGAACTTCTACAATTCAATAATAAAAAGATCAACAATTAAATTAAAAATAAACTGAGTGGTGGTGGTGCATGCCTTTAATCTCATCACTTGGAAGGCATAGGCAGGTGGATCTGTGTAAGTTCCAGGATAGTCTGCTCTACAGAACAGCCAGGGAGGTTACACAGAGAAACCCTGTCTCAAAAAACAAACAAACAACAGTTCAATATTCCCAATGAACAGAAAAAAAAAAAAATACTTCTCAGATATAAAAACTAGTATAGTTAAAGTAGAAAGTCTTTATCATTCCCAGGACAAAAGGGATACACCCAAACAAGAGATATCCAACAGCTTACCTCAAATTTAAACCACTCCGAGTTCCACTGCGGATTGAGTGACTTGAGGTACACATCTGTCTTAAAGGTTGTGTTACCAAATTTTACCTTTAAAAGAAGAAGAAGAAGCTATTCAAATACAAATATCAACAGCACAAGCCAATGCTAGGCTTGGAGTGATGGCACATGGCTTCAATCCCATTACAAGACAGTAGAGGGTCAGACCTCTAAATCCGACGCCAGTCTAGTCCACATAGAGAGAGGTCATCTAGTAACTGGGGAGCAGGGATTTCAGGGAGGCTAGCAAATGTTAGGAGCAGCTAAGCAACAAAATGAAGGAAAAAGACAAACATCCTAAAAGAGAGAAGAAGGCTGATCTTCTAGGCCCTTACCTTTGCCAACAAGGACACTGACTGATCTTGAGAGAAATTAAAGGCTATCATTTTATCTTGTTTGGGTGTATCCCTTTTGTCCTGGGAATGATAAAGACTTTCTACTTTAAGTATACTAGTTTTTATATCTGAGAAGTATTTCCTTTTCTGTTCATTGGGAATATTGAACTGCTGAGCCTGAAGCAAAAGATCTGCTAGAATTACATAACCACTCAAATGCCAAGTATATTTAAGGGCTCTGGCTCAGTGGCAAAGAGTGCACATGTTTTAAGTTCTAGGTTCCCAGCCCTCTTTTTAGCCACAACAGTAGCTGTGCTGGCATTCTATTTTCTTTTTACCAACTGTCCATTCAAGATAACTTAAAAAATCTACAACCCCCATTTTTCAATAGATAAAAAGGGGGAAAAAATTAGACCACATGTTGCCATTGTGTGATGGCCTTCTAGTGAGATCCACACTTCCTCCTGCTTTTGTTGTTCACTTCAAAGGAGATTTTTATTACTCAGCAATTAAAGGAACATCTTACAACTTCCTTCAGAACAGCAGCGATTCTGAGTTCTACAGTGAAGTTGAGCATTTTCTCCTGAAGTTATTTAATCTGTTCAAATCTGCTTTTTCCTCTAAAGAGGGGAGTTGCAAGGACACTGTGTGATTACATATTACCCATGAAATACCTGGGATGATCAGAAATACTGATTAAATGTTTCTTTTCCTCTCCTTGCTCCCTTAGACTCTTGGATGAACACAAAGTGACTGGTTTAGCCAACTTGTACACGGACATCTATTTATTACAATTTCCTCTGTTTAAAAAAAAAAAACAAAAAAGACCAGCTGGGCATTTGTGATACATGCCTTTAGTCCCAGCGGGAGGCAGAGGCAGGCGGATCTCTGTGAGTTTGGGTCCAGCCTGGTCTACAGAGTGAGTTCCAGGAAGGCTCCAAAGCAATACAGAGAAACCCTGCCTTGAAAAACCAAAACAACAAAAACCTTATCTTATTCACCCTAGATATTCCTGCGGAAAGAACAGTTTGGTTCTGTCCCTTAGTGGGATTTACATACATTACAACAATAAATACAGTAGACACAAGCACACCTGAGAATAAACAGCACCCCTAAAGCCCAGCAGACAGCGGTGGGAGACTGCGGGCACAGGGAAGCAGTGTGCGGGCTGGGCAGCCCGAGGAGCACTAGGGCTCAGTGCGTCAGTGGAAACTGGTGGGTAGGGCTACCAAATAGATAGATGCCTTGACCTAACTCAAGACTGCTTGGCAACCTGAGCCCCCTTTACCAAGCGGGACTTATTTCCCAATCTACTCAACACCAGCTCTCCTTCCAATTATACATGTTCTATACCTGGCTTTGCCTTCACTAAGTTTGTCCTTGTCACTCAAAAAATGCTTTTCTATGTATGTATGGAGAGTTAATTATCCCTCCAGATACAGCTGCAAAAATTCTCACAATCTGCCAAGTAGCAGTGCAGGTCTATAGCCTGATGCTGGCGAAGGCAGGAAGGAATGGAGGAGGAAGAGACCTAGGCTCCACTGTCTCCCTCTCCTATGAGCTTATTAGTTACAGCCTCGTCACATCAGTGTTCCTTTAACTGTGACCCTTCATTATCCTCCCGCTGCTCTGATCTGCTCCTCCCTGCTGCATAACGCCTATCACACAAATATGCCTGGATTCTTATTTCCTTCGCTGCTAAAAGCTATAAACACCTGAGGGACCATGGGTTCCTACCCTCTCTTCACACCCATGTTTCTTGCAACAGTTGCCAACTCAGAACGTGCTGCTTCCTCACCCCAAACATCCTAATAATTCTCGGGAAGTCTTAGAGTGACTTATGTATGTGCGTGTGCATGTTTGTGTGTGACCATGCACCTGTGAAGTCAGAGGACACCTCCAGGAAGTTGTTCTCTCCTTCCACCATCTAGGTTTGAGGACCGAACTCAATTGCCAGGCTTGGGTGATTTGAAAGAAAATGGCCCTCAAAGGGGGTGGCACTGTTAGGAGGTGTGGCCTTGTGGGAGGAAGTGTGTCACTGTGGGGTGGGCTTTGAGGACTCTTTCCTCAATCCACTTCCTACTGCCTGAAGGGGGAGCACTCTCAGCTCCAGCACATCTGCCTGCTCGCCTCCGTGCTCCCCACCCACCGTGATCCACCGTGGACTGAGCCACCCCAATTAAAAGTTTCCTTCATGAGAGCTGCCGTGGTCATGCTGTCTCTTCACAGCAATGGAACCCTGAGGTGGCTGCAAGCACCTGCTGAACCATCTCAAGGCTTCAAGTCTGAGGGTGTCTAACTTTGCTCTGAGACAACTGAGATAGTACATAAGCAGACCCAGAAACACTACGTGTGCTGCAAAGCAAGACTCCCAACAGTAATGCCCCTTGTCATGTTTCTGAATAGCCCAACAGATAGTCACATGACTAAAAATCCAAAGTCATGCAAGGCAGCTGTAATCCCAGCACTTGGAGGTCTGGAGAGTCAAAGTCAGCCTGGGCTACACAGTAAGACTCTGCCTCAAAGAAAATCTACCTGGACTCTAAGTTAGTTTTACAGGTCAAGGTTTTGTGGTAAGGTTTTGTTTGGGGGTGTTTTGTTTTGAGACAGGGTTTCTCTGTATAGCTGTGTAGGCCAGTAGATCTACCTGCCTCTGCCTCCCAAGTGCTAGGATCAAAGGTGTGTGCCACCACCACCTGGCTTCAGGTTTTGTTTAATTTTTATTTATATGTATGGGTATTTTGTCTGCTTAGATATCTGTGTACCACATGCATTTCTGGTGTCTGCGGAGGCCAGAGAGACTGTCAAATTCCCTGAAACTGGAGTTACAGACCATGGTGCATGGCCATATGGGTCCTGGGAACTGAACCAGGGTCTTCTGAAAGATCATTCAGTACTCTTAACCACTAAGACATCTCTCCAGCCCCTACAACTGTCTTTCTATGTGACATTCTTATTCATGTGATTTTACCCATAAGAGACATTCCCTATAGGCCTAGACAAATTGTCTTACCTTCTAGAACACTATTTAATTATATTGTGCATAAATTATTTCTCCTCCTACCAAAAGGTGCACTCTATAACTAAAGAAATTCTTGTTGCATTCATCTATATATCCCTGACATCCACTACAGTGTCTGATATACATCAGAGTTCAATAACTAGCCAATCACACAATATGATTAGGTTCCCATTTTTCACTGCATTTATAAGCAAGTACTTCAATACTGAAATGACAAACACACACACACAAGAAAACCTTGTCAAACTATTTGAATTCAGTGCTCCTTTTATCATGAGTACAGATAAACTATATTTCTATGAGTATCTTTTAAGATAGACTTCAAAATATGTGATATAGGGTCAGCTAGATAGCTCAGCAGGTAAAGAACTTGTCACACAACCTAACAACTTAAATTTGATTCCTGAAATGGACAGGAGAAAATTGATTGCCCAAAATCAACTTCTGACATCTATACTCATGCTATAGCATGTACACGCCACCCCCCACCACACACACACACACACACACACACACACACACACACACACACCACATACACACATAATATTTTTTAAAAGCCAAGTGTGGCTCACACCTTTAATCCCAGCACTTGGGAGGCAGAAGCAGGTGAATCTCAAAGTTCCAGGTCAGTGATCTACAGTGGGAGTTCCAGGACAGCCAGGCTATACAAAGAAACCTGTCCCAAATAAATAAATAAATACAAAATAGATTTTATTAAACGGGGTGTGGCTGACATGAGTTGGAGCACTTTTATCCACAACTCAACCAAGGTAATGATAAAGGAGTGCTTGATCTCACAGGACTGAGCAATGCCTCTTCTAACTCCAACTGCTCTTTGGAACATCACAGCTACAAATCTGATTTCCCTTTTGATGAATGCAATTAAGACACCTCAAACCTAACATGCCCAGATGGAAACTGTCTCCTTAGCCCATCCCCATCACCCTGCAGAGTTCCAGAAAATGACTCGTCTACTCCTGAAAGCTAGAACTGCATTAGTTCTCCTTTGCTTGATCCCTGGCTCCAATCTACCAACAAATGCTCTAATCTCCTTTCAAAATAGATCTGGAATTCATCCACTTCTTTCCATTACCAAATCCACTGTGTGGGCCTGTTATTCGAACTCCAATAGACTCTCCATTGGATACGACACATTGCAAATAAAATGCCATTTAATAAGAGTTACCTACTGAATTTATAAAATTCAAGTCTTAACCTCAGCCTTGCACCATCAGCCACTTGACCATTTCCCCAAATGTGCCTCTCACTGTTCCCTTCTCTTCACCAAGAGATCGCTCCCTACATTCTCCTTTGTTCCCACAACACGCCAGTCTTATCGAGCTTCTCTTCTATCTCCTCACTCACCCTTTTACAGAAAGGCAAGCTATAGTCTCTCAGTAGCTGATGCTGCTCATCCAACAGGTGTCTGCTTGGTTGATGCTAATCAGTCAACCTAAAATAGATGTTCCTTATCATTCTCTATTGTATTCTCTCGTGAACTCATAACTTGTATTATATACTTAGTAAGTTCTTTACTTTCTAAATGTGTCTTAGTCACCTACACAAAAGTTCCATAAATCAGAAACCAAATACTTCTTGAAAAATCATCATACATAATCAGCAAGACACCCAAAATAGCAGAGAGCCTGGCAGACAACAATCAGGGTTGGGTTTGATGACACACATCTGTGATTCCAGCTACCAGAGGGCTGAGGGAGATTTGATTTTTTTTTATGTTTTCATTTATTTATGTATTTATTTATTTACTTATTTACTTTTGAGGTAGTGTCTAAATATATATCCCTCTGGCCTTGGAATGATGTAGACCACACTGATTTCAAACTCAGAGATCCACCTGTCTCTGCCTCCTGACCCCCAGAATTCAGAGTGAGCAATATCATGCCTGGCTTGAGACAGGATTTTAATATCAAGGTAAGCATGGGTAATCTAGTGAAACTCTAAATAAAATATTATGTCCATTCAGGCCATCCTGTGGATAATTTTTTTAAAAATCTTACTTCTGCTGAAACCCCTCCCCTGGTTTAGTCTCACTTACAAAAAGGGAATAGAATAAAAAGTGAGGATTGAGTTAACAGGTCAACCCACCCTTCCTGCTCCATCCCCACATCTCACTCCAAGTGCACCTCACACTAATGTGGCTTCCTGAACAGGGCAGGTTCCACGTTCTGTGCCTTTGCTGTTCTTTTTGCCTGAAAAAATCCTGGGTGTTCCTCAAGACTCAGGTCAACTGTGACTTTCTTAGGAAGTCTTCTTAACACTAGCTCCCTCATTCAAATATAACTTTCATCATCTTGCTTGCAGAGGCAGGAATCACACACTAGAACAGACTGCCCCTAGGCTGTGGAGATTTACAAGGTAAGTAATTCTAGGCACATTATTACCACCCATAGGCCTCTTGCTGCCTAACCTCTAACAAGGAGTAACATTCCTAGCAGGACTGCTGTAAGGACTAAGAACCTATCTGTACACAGCACAAACACGGCACTAATGAAGCTCAATACGCATTAGCTGTTAATATCAGCTGTGTGGGTCATTCTGCCCAAGTCCAGTTATCTGTAGATCTGTTAACCCAGACCCAAGAGCAAACACTTCATTTCAATGAAAAAGATGTTAAGCTTAACAACTGTCATAAAATGGGTAGAATGAACTGCAGTTAATTATGTCCTAGAGCCTTTAATAATATTTTATATTGAGTGACGTATACTATCATACATATCTTTGAACCCTAAGCATTACTAGCCCGAATTACTGCTGTAATGGTCTGCCTCATCGTGCCAACTTTTACTACAACTCCTCCTTGGCTTCTTTCCGGTTCTGAGTTAATAATTTCCAGGCCGTAGGCCTGCGCTAATTTGCATGACTTTTAAACCAATCATTATATTTTTTAAAAAAATGCAATTTTGCAATTGAAATCCATGGCACTTAACTGACTTCCCACCTCCAGGCAACAAATTACCCCGAGACAGCGCATCTCCCTGCCGGTCCACACAAGAGCGGATAAAGTGTCACTGTTGTGTGTGACCTGCACTGATGATTCAGACAGTGTTGGCGGGGAAAGGGCTGGAAGTCGTCGCACCGTGGGGCGGGGGTGGGCTGCAGGTGGCACCGGAGAGTTGGCTGCTTGGACTCGGCTGCAGCAATGCGTCCCTCCCCAACCTCCGGGATCATAAAGGAGGCCACGCCTCGGCCTGGCAGGTGGCGGCGGTGGCCTGGGGGTGGGGAGGGGACACGTGTCCCTGCCCGAGCGGAGGGGAGGGCCGCATCCCGCGGGGCTGGGGACCGGTGGGCATCTCTGCTCCACCGGGCGCCGCGGCCAGGGCGGGGCGGGGCGGGGCGGGGCGGGGCCCGGCGTTCGACCCCGCAGGCCCCGGCACCCACCTCCACGAAGGCATCCGTCAGGTCGCTGGCGCGGTCCATCACCGGCAAATGGCGACCCGCCACGATCTTCACCTTCAGCTTCCCCGGCATCGCGGCCGGCGGCTTCGGCCTCTGCTAGGATCCCTGCAGAAACAAACAAGCCGAGTCTGCGCCGAGCCGGCGGCGGGGGCGCGCGCGGGGGGACGCGGCGGCGGGGGCGCGCGCGGGGGGACGCGGCGGCGGGGGCGCGCGCCAACTGACAGCGGAGGACGCGCGCGCCGCACTCACGCTCTGACGAGTCCCCGAGTCGTCCCGCGCCGGCGCCGAGGCCTCATTCCGGAGGGGCCCCCGGAGGATGGGCGCCTGCCTCTCCGCCCGCCCGCCCGCCCCGGCCCCGGCCCCGGCCCCGGCCCCGGCGTGCGGCTCTAGCCGCCAAGGCCAGCCAGCATCCCGCGGAGCCCGCGCCGCGCCTCCCCGCCTTTCTCCTCCCACCCGTCCAAAAATGGCGGCCGGAGGGCGGGGCGGGGCGGGGGCGATCGATCACTCGGGGCTCGGACCCGCTGGCGGGGCTCGTTTGGATTCGCCGGGACCGGGCGAGAGGGGCGGGGCCGGGCGAGAGGGGCGGGGCCGGGCTGGGGGGCAGGGGAGCAGGTCGAGCCCCGCATCATCCACCCAGCCGCCCTTCGGGTGGGTTGCTGGACTCCCAGGCCGGTGATCGAGCCGCGCCGCGCTTTGCAGGGCCCTGGGCGCTCTGCCCTGGGCGCTCTGCTGCGGCCCAGCCTGCTGGAGGACTGTGCCGGTGCTGTTTTCCTAAGACGGGCAAGGGCACAAGTGCGCTTGGTGGTTTTCTGTAAATCTTCAGGTTAGAGCCGCGTGTGCGCATGCACACCTGTCAACCCAGAGCGCGGAAGGCTGGGGCCAGAGCAGTACCTCGAGTTCTTAGCCGGCCCGGGCAACACACTAAAACCCTGGCTTAAAATAAAAATAAAGGACAGTCATTACTACCAGAGAAATCCTGTCTCTGTCTCAAAAAAGAAAAAAAATTACACAATGCAACTCAGATAGTAAATATTTTAATGAAAAACGTGTTTCAGTCATAGGCATCTGTACCTTGTCCTGGGTCACAGATGTCGCTAGCCTTCCTTACTAACACCCTTTACTAGCCTTAGTATGAACTTGCGGTGTTTTGGTTTTTGTTTGTTTGGTTGGTTTTGGTTTTGATTTTGGTTTTGGTTTTTGAGACAAGGTCTTGCCTGTGGTATTTAATCCTGGCTGGCCTCTTCCTTGGTGTGCAGCCCAGGCTGGCTTTGAACTCGTTACATTCTTCCTGCGGCATCGTCCCAGGTACTGGGATGATGAACTCACACAGCTCTCTAATTATTAAGCATTTACAAGCCTAAAGGGAGGGTCTGCAGTGCCGGCTGGAAGTCTGCAAGTAATGAACCTGCAGCAGTAAACAGTGTGAAAAATGAGCCCAAAGAGCATCAGCCCCACGCCCTGTACTGTGTGAGTCGCCCGGTGGAGTATCATATACAGCTTAAGACGATCAGAAAAAGATTGACGTTGAGGTGCACACACACAGGATGTAACAAGATCACTCCATACCACGTGTCAAACCCAGTACATTGGTAAATGTACTCCATAGCAAATACCAAAATCAACATTTAAAATGCCAGTGGAAAAATTAATGCGCTGAATTTATTAGGAATGGAAAATTCCTAAATGAAGATATCAGCATGATCTTTTTAGCTTTAAAAAAAAAAAAAAAAAAAAAAATTGCTCCAAGCAGTAACGAACCAGAAATGCCTTTTCAAAGAAAAAGTCCTCCTGAAAAAGGAATTTTGGCTCATGTGAGAGGATGAATTCTTTCAAAGAAAAAGAAAATGGCCTGCTCAAAAGAAAGGAAAACAATCTAAAATACATATTGTTGCAGAGCTTTTGGACTAGAAAATGTCTATCTGTAGAGACAGATAGTGAGGTTCAAGCTTAAGATCAGATAAGCAAAGCAGCCAAGCCTCCAGAGAACGCTTACCTCTAGCATGGCTGGGACAATCCTGGCCTCAGTGTGGCTGGAGACTGAATTGCCTAAGGTCGAGTACTCAATGCCCTGCTCCTATCTTGTGTACCTCTCTAGTGCTGGGACTGAAGGCATGAACTCTGGTTCTCTTTTAGACTGATTCATTCTCAATGTGGTCCAGGGTGGCCTTGACCTCACAGAGACCCATCTGCCTCTCTCTCCTGAGTCCTGGGATTAAAGATGTGTGCCACCACTGCCCAGCTTCTATGACTCTGGCTGGCTTTGCATTCTGATCTTCAGTGACTTTATTACATCATAAAAACAACATATCACCACAACATTTAGACTATAACAAAAAAGAACACATTCTCACATAATTACCTTGGAACCACTGGTAACTTTTTCTAAACTGATTTTCTTAAAATATCCTTGCCAGGGGCTGGATAGACGGCTCAGCAGTTAAGAGCAAAGGTCCAGAGTTCAATTCCTAGCAACCACGTGGTGGCTTTCAACCATCTATCTGGTGCCCTCTTCTGGCTTTGGAGGCTTACATGCAGGCAGAACACTGCATACAAACAAATCTTAAAAACTAAATAAATAAAAATAAAGAAAAAAATCCTTGCCAAATTCAAAGTTCCAACATGTGTAACAAGTGTTCTATATGTTGTTGTTTTCCTTCTTTGAACCAGTTTTTAATTAAATCTATGTGTAAGATTGCACTTACTGGATTGTCCTGGTTGTTTCTTCCCCACCCCACGTTGCCCCCGCCCCCTCCCCCTTGGTGAGATTTGGCTTTCTGCTCCACAGCCTTCTGGCAGTGTTTGTCCAGTTTTCAGTCTGGTGATAAACACCTTGATGGGGTAAATGCCAGCATGGATGTTTGTACCATTGGCTTTTTCTGTCGTCCCTGTTCGTTGTGGATGACATTTCGTACAAAGCAGGACTGCTTTGCCAATTAGCTGACCTTTTTAGTGTCCTCGAACAACCTGAACTCCGTCCTCTTGGATACACAGAGATCAAACGTCTTTCTCAGTCTTTGGAAAGCAGTGTGGGTACACTAGCACTCCTTTTACCTTCCTCCAGTTAGGAAGAGCTAAGAATTCTGGCTCATGTCTTTAATCCCAACACTGGGGAGGGAGAGGAAAGCAGATCTCTGTGAGTTCAAATCCAACCTGGTCTACTGAGTGAGTTCCAAGCCAGTCAGAGCTACATAGTGAGACATTACCTAGCCTGCCTCCAGCTCCCTCCCCTCAAGAAAAAAAATTCACAAATGTCCCTCAGTTTGACAGTTGCCTGCCAGCAATGGTGGCCAAAGACTAGAACCTTTGAGTTGTTTGGATGGTGTAGCTGAGATGGCTTTTCTAATGAAAAGATACTGCCTTGTAGCTCAATGTCCAAGCACTTGCCTTACACAGGGTTCAAGCAGCAAACAACAAGTCAGATACACAGGAAAACACAAGAAAACTGAGGTTTAGCAATAGTTTTTTAATAGGATGGAATTCAAGATGTTATAATGTAGAGGATATTTGCAAATTGCACAATTAGAGGTTAGCAGGCTCAGCCTCCTAATTAGTGCACTACAATGTGCTTTGCTACCTGCTGCCTGGGGCATCATCAACAGGAGATTATAATTAAGATGCTTCCTGAGACTTTTTTTTTTTTAGTGGAATTAAGCCGGGATTCAGCTTAACCGGTTCCTAGTAATTGTGCTCGTTTGTTTTAATTAATGGTGGGATGGAGCTTACTCTCCTGACAAATGAATCATGAGATGACCTCTGATTAACATTGTCAGCTTCATAGGCTGCCTTCTTCCTGCAGATTAGTTTTTAAATACAAGCTGGTGTGTATGGAGTGCTCCCCACCTATTAGACACCAAATTTGGAACTTGACAGCTTTTCAGTTTCACTAAAATCCTGTAAGGATTATCAGAATTTGATTTTGGTTTTGTTTTTCTGAACTTCTGGGAATAGACCCTTCATTAAGGAAAAAAATGCACACTTGTGTATACATGTGGCCACGTGCCAACTGTGGAAGCCAGGGACCAACTTTGGAAGTCAAGTTTCTTCTGCCACCACGTGCATCCCAGGGACAGAATTTGAGTCGTTAGTCTTGACCACAGGCGCTGTCACCAGCCAGACCATCTTGCAAACCGAGAGCCTGCATGTTGTAATTTTTGTTTTGTGTTTTGAGGCAGAGTCTCTCTCACACTAGTTCGAGGTGGCCTAGAATTCACTATTTAACACGGGCTAGCCTAAAATACACGGCAGTCCCTCCAGCTCTGCCCCCCGGTGCAGAAGTCACAGGTGTGTACCACGATGCCAGGCTAGTACTGGCTTTGCAAATGGAAAGTGATCATCCATCCAGGGCCTCGGAGCTGATAAAGAGGGAGGCAGTCCTGTTGTGTGTGACTCCAGGTCTCTCACACGTCTTCCATCATTGGCTTGTAGTGGAATAATCTTTGGGTACACCGCGAAGATGTGTCACTCTGACGGTTTAATAAAATCTGAGCAGCCAATAACTAGGCAGGACTTCTGAGCAGAGAGGATCCTGGGAAGAAGGCAGCAAGAGACACAGAGCAAGCAGGATGGGCAGTGTGGAGATGAGGTAGTAAAGCCACGAGGCAGAGAGTAAACTAATAGAAATGGGTTGCTATAAGAGCTAGTTAGGAACAAACCTCAGCTAAGGCTGAGCTTTCATAATCAGAAATCTCCATGTCCTTTCATGTGGGCCAGTGGCCCGAAGCAAAGCCCCACTACATTAACTGTCCCGTAGGAGGCCACATCCACTAGTCTCTGTCCTCCAATCCACTCACTGCAAAAAACAGCACAAGTAATGTATTAGTTGAGATAAAGTTTCTTTGTGTAGCTCAGGCTGTATTCAAACTCAAAGCCTCATGCCTCAGCCTCATGTTTCCCAGAATGCTCTTGAATCACCTATGTAGCCAAGGATGACTCCCAAGGTCTGCTTTTCCTCTTTCTTGAGAGTTCTGGGATTACAGGGCTGTACCACCGTGCCCAACGTGTGCAGTGCTAAGGCAAGTGATCCCCGTGTCCAGTTTATGCAGCGTTAGTGTAGTGTAAGGACACTACTAGTTGTGCTACTTCCCCAGCCCCCCTTGCAGAGAGAGAGACAGAGACGAAGAGACTGTTTTAAAACGCACTTTTTAATTTTGAGACAGGGCCATGCATTGTAACTCTGGCTCACCAGAATAGTCCACGCTGGCTTCGGCTTACTTCCTAGGAGCCCAACTGCCAACTGCTAGGATTACGGGTATGCGCCAGTACACCAAGAGCGCGCTGCTCATCTTTGATAGTGACACAGAAGCAGCTCAGTTTCGCCAGTGTCTGGTACGAGTGGTCAGCGGTCAGCCACAGTAAA